CCCCGTCCTATCGCTCCATGTTCCCCAAACCCTTCAAAACCTCTGAGGCTCTTTCTCTCCCTCCCTCATTCAGCACACATCGACCAGGCTCGCGGTTCTCCTCAGTTTTGTCATCAATGGCGGATCCGTTGTCTATAGCAGCTAGTGCCGTGGGAATCATCTCCCTCGGCATTCAGGTCGTGCAGTCAATCTATCAGTACTACAGTGCCGCAAAAGACCAGCATTCCGACATTGCTCGCACACTGCGGAAGCTCGAAGACTTGCAAGTCTCGCTTGAGAGGTTGCAAGCTCATCTCCAGGATCGGAAGTTTCAACCCAGCGAGGAGGCTCTGCTTCAGAACATCCACTCCACGATCAAACGCTGTGAAGAGTGCATCAGGGACCTGGAACGAGAGTCGAAGGAGTTCGAGAAGAGACCAATCGACAGTGTTAGAGCTGCTGTCGGAGGTACCGTCCGTTGGTTGCAGTACCCGTTCCGAGAGAGCACGCTCCTGAAGCTGAACGAAGATATCGATGACCTCATCAGCCAGCTGTCTCTAGCTTTGTCGTTATTACAGCAGCAGACCATCGACCGCGTTCAGGATGAAATCGAGAGTGCCAATGCCATCCTCGCTCTGATTCGAACTTCACAAGTATCCTCTGAGATTCGAGCTTGGGTTCAGGCTCCTGACGCTACGTTTAACTTTACCGAAGCATGTGCGAAGAAACACCCAGGAACTGGGAATTGGTTCGTCAAAGGGCCAGAGTTCATGCACTGGCTTGAGGATCCAAGTTCATTCCTTTGGTTGAAGGGCTTTGCCGGCTGCGGCAAGACTGTTCTGAGTTCGACAGTCATACAACATACACTCCGCCACCGCAGATCCAACCCTCGCATCGGGCTTTGTTTCTTCTTCTTCTCATTTAATGACAAGTCAAAGCAGGATGTATCTGCAATGCTCCGAGCGCTCATCCTGCAGCTATCAGATCAACTTGCCCAGACTCCTACTGCACTGCAAAGGATTTACGATATGAGCAAGAAACACAATGTCTCACCGACATCTGCAGACCTACTTCGATGTTTTCATCAACTGGTGGAACTTTTCCAGCATGTCCATGTTGTTTTGGATGCTCTAGACGAGAGTCCTCGAGAAACAAACCGATATGCTTTGCTGGAGGTACTGAAGGAAATCAGGGCTTGGTCAGAGCCCAGATTACATCTTTTAGTGACAAGTCGAGACGAGGTCGACATCCGTGCTGAATTGGAAGCCGCACCACAACACACCATTCTGATGCAAAACGACGGAATAAATGACGATATTGCCGAATTTGTCTCACAACATCTCCGGCGCCGTCTTAAACGATGGAGCAAGCACCATTCTCAGATTGAGAAGATCTTGACCGAAAAGGCACATGGCGTGTGAGTGCCCGGGAAGATACCGTTCCAAAGTTGACAAAGCTAACGATCATCAGTTTTCGGTGGGTCGAGTGTCAGTTCAAAGCACTCGAGACGTGTCCAAGGAGCAAGCAAGCTCTCGATCGACAACTTCAATCGTTGCCTCCCACATTGGATGAAACCTATAAGAGAATGTTAGAGAACGTTTCCGATAAGGACTACGCCAAGCAGATGCTAACGATTCTCTGTTGTGCCACGAGGCCATTGACTGTGCCGGAGCTGGTCAACGCCATGGCAATCGAGATCGGCATCACCTCCTTCTTCAATCCAGATCGGCAACTTCAAGACGCAGACGCCCTTCAGGAAATCTGCCCAGGCTTCACCGAAGTATTCGTAGACTCCGAATCAAACATGAGTGTCATTCGTATTGCACACTTCTCTGTCCAGGAATATCTCGAATCCGACCGAATTCTACAACCAGAAGGCTGCGCTTCGTTCAGTTTGCGAAAACGCTGTGGGAATCTGATGCTGGCATCAATGTGTCTCACGTTACTACTCGTTCCTGAATTACCGACGCTCCAGCGTAGCGAGATTTATCAAAAATATCCTTTTACGGAATACGCTGCAGAGGAATGGCCAGACCACTGGCGGAAGAGCAATGAGATTGACGCCAGATTAGCGTCACGTGATGACTTTAGTTGTTGTCCCCCTGAAACATCCCACAGTAATCTTGTTCTACGACTTCAGGAACAGATGGTACTGCTATTCAGAAATACGAACGGAGCAATGAGGAACTGGATCCAAATCTGGGACATCGATGCCGTTCTTGGCTGGACAGACCAAAGCATGGATCCATCTCCACTATACTATGCTTCCCATGTCGGCGCTCTTTTCCTGGTGGAAAGCCTTTACGAGGACTGGGAAAAACGATGCTACCTCGACGGTCCAACGAAAACACGTATCGATGTTATGGATGGGCCTGGCAGCCATGGGACAGCATTACAGGCAGCGGCAGCTATGGGCCACATCGACGTGGTGCAGTTTTGGCTCAATAAAGGCGCGGACCCAAACATGAATGTCGCGCAAACTTTGATTGCAGAGGGCACTCCTTTGATGACAGCGTCAGCTCATGGCCAGACAAAAATTATCGAGTTACTTCTCAAGCATGGTGCAGCTGTCAATGCCATGTGGACAATGTCCACGGATGAAATCAGAAGAACAACAACTATTGCAACTGCCCTAGCCGCGGCATCAAGCGAGGGTCACGAAGAAGCTGTGAAGGTGCTTCTAAAGCACGGAGCCCTTGATGACGTCCACCCCATATTCTTAGACGGATCCGCGTTGATGGCAAGTCATGTTCAATTGTCTGAACAGTCCCGACGGATTAAAAAAATGCTTCTACAGAATTTCGACGGCACTAGGGTCACAACAAGTTCTCAGATCTTTGAATCATACTTGGAAGTAGCTGCGGAAGACGGGAATAAGGAGCTTGTCCAAAAGTTCCTGGACAAGTGGATCTTGTGCGGAAAACCTGGCTTTCCGTTTGGAAAGTCACTTCAAATGGCATCGGCCTTTGGGCACCTACAAATTGTTCATTTGCTCATCCAATCCGGGGCTAATGTGAACGACCTTGGCCGAGTACTGAAAATGGATGGCTCAGTCAGGAATTCGATGGGGACTGCGCTGGAAGAAGCTTCAGCGAAAGGACACAATGATATCATCGAGCTCCTCTTACTCCACAAAGCTGATATAAAGTTGCTTGGCCGGGGTGGCCAGGGCACGGCTTTTGGATCCGCACTGCAGAGAGCATTGGCTGCAGGACATCAAGAGACAGTGAGGCTGCTTCTTGACGTCGGCAACCCTTCGGACCAGATGGAGATGCCAGAACTGTATGCAGCATCACTAGTGGGCAGTGAGGAGACCGTTCAAGCTCTTCTGGACTCAGGGGTGGACATCAACGCTCGGTACAGGGGAGAAAGATTCCAGACTGCACTGTCTGCAGCATGCATGGGTGGATACATCAAAATTGTGGAAATGTTGCTGGATAGAGGCGCATCTCTCGAGGTGGGAGACGACGAGCCCGCAGAAGATGGCTTCAGTACAGAAGAATCCTCGAACGATCATCGAAACCCCTGGCACATAATGCTCAATCCCATAGACCCAAAACTCCTAGATCCTCTCACCTCAGCCTTACTAGGTGGTCATTGGAGTATTGTTGAAATGATTCTTAGAAGAGAGCCTGAGGTAATTGCGGAAATCCGGGGCTGGAGAAGACAGTCAGCGCTTTCGGCTGCAAAAGAGGGCGGCCACATTGAAATTATTAAACTAATCAATAGCTACTACACGTCATTTATACCGGCATATTTAGCTGATGAGAATGCATTTAGATCTTTATTATTCTCGAGGGACTTAGAATTAGCTATTAGCTTGGATAAAGGCAGCTCTTCGAACTGGATGAAAACGCACAGACTCTTCGAGAGCTACAGATACTGTGATAGATAGCTTTTGCTAGGAGGCAGTAAACGACTTACTGCAAATAGAAATGGAAAATGGGGCTACATTTGGCTATTTTGCGCATTCTTGCTATTAATTTAGTAATTTTAACTTGATAATAATCATTCTCCGTCTTTAGACAGGTAATCAGCGAATCTTGTTATAACTTAGTTTGGAATGGACTCCTTTGGCAAAACTTGCAAACGGCAAGACTCAACATGCCTCCAGAAAAGGTTGACAGATGCTAATAAGCACGGCACAGAAAATTCAGAAGCGCCAAGGATTGTAGAAATGCAAACACTCTTTTCATTTCTTAAAGAATGTTTCTTCTATCCGTTGCCCATCATCAAGCACCACCGGCTCAGCCCCAAACATGATGGACAAGATCCTCGTGTACCCATCCGAAGCATTAACCCACTCGTGATTTCATTCCCCCCTGGACGATAAATTCCCCCGCCCTGATGACCTTTTCCTCCCCGCCGTCGAGCTGGAGCATGATCTCGCCGGCGAGAACGCGCGTGTAGTCGACGCTGAGCGTCCGGCGCATGGGAGCCTTGTGCCGCTGCGGGACATCCGAGAAGCAAAAAGTAGGTCCCCGCTGCGGGCGTGCGCGGAAGAGAATGCGGTAAACGCTTGCGGAGGCGCGTTGGGCGCGTTGGAGGCGGGTAGGGTTGATGCGGTGTGAATAGAGGTGAAGCCGCTGGCTTGGGGCCCGAGAGGGTGGAATGGCGGGATGAGCGCGTCGGATGTGAAGATGGATGTGCCGTCTGCCGTGTGGCCTGCCGTCACGAGAGACGTGCGGCTGGCAAGAGGCTTTGCCTGTGCTGAGGTGGTTGAGGTTTGTTTGGTCGGAGCATGGTTTGTGAAATGTGCCGATGATTGGGAAAACCTGGTCTAGTGCGTTCCGGGGTTGAGTGCGGAAGAAGCGTGTGATGATGAGATACGTGCGGACAACACCTTTGATTGCTGTCCAGAACCCGAGCTAGGCGGGGATTTCGAGTCGTTGTAGTCGTCACTGCAACTCCTATTGATCTACAGCTTACGACTTCATATCAGGCTGCCCAGATTGCAAGGCCGCTCGCATTCGTTGACGTGCCCCGTTCGTGAGATGGAACGTCATCCCTTTGGCGGCAAGGGATGACGACCCAGCAAAAGTAAGCACTAGCAAATTAAGCCGGATTTCAAACTTTGATCACTGCCTGAAAAGAAGTTTACCAAGTCAATGACAGCAGTCAAGTTGATTGCTTGTGGGAATCTTGCCTTGATATATGTAGTCGCATCAAGGGTAGAAAACCCGCGGCTTCTCGGGGCGCGAGCTTCCGTGCGAGACCTGGGATCCGGTCTTTGGTAATGAACAGGGAGAGTTCCTGGCCAAGCGGGTGTATGATGAAGTACCTGTTACCGTGCCACCGCTCGATTGTTTGTATGAGCACATATCTTGCGGAGGTCCTGATTCTGAATTGATGTAATATATAAGTAGCAACGTGGGATATAATAGTGTAATTGATGGATTCAAGGTGAAATTAACATCATGACCTTGTAGATAACCAGCTGTCTCTCGTACGAGGAGTTCGCAGGCTATGTCAGACCACAGAAGAGTACCAGCATGAGGGGTAGACCGAGAACATAACATAGAAGCAAACGTCTATTGACATTATGGTAGATCTCATAGCCACATCATGCAATCAGCCACGGGGTTTTCCCATCTGAGATTGTCTGGTTCGTGCCGCGGTGTGTGTCTGATGCCTCAAACATGGACAGCAGAGGACGCCCAAAATCTAGACGCATCATCGCGAGGTCCATGCGTGCAATACTTTGACGATACGTCAGGATGTTTTTGCCTATATGAGCACTATATACCGATGAACATGGCCGACATAGACCCTCTCTCATTGGGACCTCGCTCGAGGGGTGAACCCTCTAGGAATACGCTAGGACCCTGTTGAAAAATACGACACGACACTACAGGAAGGCAAACAGAACAGATCATGGTGAGTATCAAAGCCAAGAAGCCTAGGCACAACCAGTATTTATCGAGAAATGCGGAGCGAAGGTCGGTCAGGCCAACCTCAAGAAGCTCTCGACTGGGAATAGACACTGGCGCAGCCGTCGTTTGCTATCGCCGTGCAACCGGTTCCAAAATCATCAAAGAAACACCGAAAAGATTGCAGTCGCGAACAAGTTTTCGAGTAAAAACAGAAACCTTGTTCACGAGGCACGAGGCACGCGGATAGAGTATAGAGCCATGATCGGCAGAATACTGGATTTTGAACAGCTCAGTGACTTGGATTCTCCTTCTCCTTCTCCTTCTCCTCTGTGGTGAATCAGAATCATTTCCAAAGAGTCATTGTTGTAGAAGCCGGACAGAGATCGATTTCCTGCCACTTTTCAACTGCAGTCACCATCTCTCGCGCTGTCGACAGTGATTCAGTGCTTCGGTGCTTCATCATGGCCCTTTCCACCATGACTATAAAAGAAGAGGTTTCCACCGCACTTGGAGCAATCCCTCTTCTTCTACATCATCAATACATCGCAGACATCGATCAAGCAAAGCCAAACACAACAAATACTCCACCAGAAACAAACAAAACCAAACACAACCAAACACCAACTACGACTTTACCAAGCAATAAAACTACCTTCTTCCGCAAGGAACTCAATCAAGTCACACAATCACACATAAAAAACCATACAAACCATCAATCGGCAAAAATGGCTCCGTGCTGGCCTATACCGAGATGTCCTCCACCTCACCCCCCACCTGATCCCCAGCCCAAGCCCCTTCCCCCCAGCAAATAAGCGACGGACGAGATAGGGAATCATACTTGCTCATGGAGGGATAGCAGGATAGTCAGCCACAGTCGCCCTTGACGGGTAAAGTTACTCCATAAGACATACTTACCGAGCACCTTAGTTAATAAAATTCTATTAAGACAAGAAAGATGTCCCTCATTCTCCCTCACGTGCAGCGTGTTCATGATGCTCCCTCTACAAATACAACTCCGACCAATTTGTGACAAATCTACACTGCTGAGTGCGCTGAGAAAGTAGCCTATGCGCCATTGCGCGCAACCCGCAAACATCACTGTAAAAAAATCTCATTGCCTATTGTCTTCACCTGTCGGGCTGACGTGTTGCATTGAAGTCGTTGGATCAACCTTACGAGTATACCAAAAACGGAAGGTCGTACTGGCCCCAGAGAAAGCGGGGCCGACGCGCACCGGGCCGGATTGTCGGCATAGCTGCCGGACCGGAAGCATACCATTTCAATGACGGTCTCAGGCGGCCGCGGCGGGCCAAAGCACGACATCATTCAGCGAAGTCCCTTTGTGATGCGATTACCGAAATGTTAATACGAGAGCACTGCTGACACGAGGGGCACACCGGTTCGCAAATAACAAGGATGATCCAGAACAACGTCGCGGGCGCGAACCGAGCACACATAGTTGGTGGCACGAAATAACACTTTCATAGTTGCTTGACGGCGGCCACGCCATGCCGACGGTTCAAGCCTAAAGCTTAGCGGGTCTCTCAGGAACATGTTCAAAGTTTATCTTAGACTTACAACGGCCGACTCTGCAACCCTAGGTGCCGAATCTTTAGGCCTTGCGTGCGAGAAACCTACCGTGCCTACCTTGATGTGTCTTTGTCATAGACTCTTTGGAAACGAAAGCGACGCTAGTATAAATAGCTCCTTGGAAACACTCTCAAGCTGACTTTGTCCTTCAACGTCATGCCACCAAAACGGTAGCGCGGCTCAGTTCCCGGAGTGTGCCTCACCGTCGAGGTGCCCACCTCACCTGAAGCATTGGTGCGCGCAGTAGTGGTTTTTGCGTAGTAGAGCCTGTCAATTATGACAGGAACAAGAAGCGCTGGGATGATCCCTTAGCGTTTAGGTTGCATCCCGGAGGTGTAGCCCTACCAGACTGGCAGCGCTGGAGCCCGAATGACATACGCCTGCGCTAAGCCTAAGAGAGCCTTGTGTCCAACACTGGACGTAATAACTCGCGAATGAAAGGGCGAAGCTGTTTCGGGAGTCTCTGGCGGCCTTCGTATTGCAGATTAGGCAGGAAAATAGCGAGGACCAATGTCAAACCCACAGAGAGGCAACAAAGCCAAGAGCGCACACAGCGTACGAGACCTGGAGAAAAACTGGACCCGGCACACCTTCAACGGCGGAGCTGGCGGCCTTCACTCAGCCTGGAAAGGCTTGCGGGACAGCTTGAATTGCAGCGTGTCTCGTTTGGCGGGCCAATCCACGACGCGTTGAGTTTTTTGGCTTCAGCTTATAGCGACTAAAATTGGCATGGGCGTGCAAAGAGAAGATGGAAGTGTGCCGGCGCCCACTCAAGCCGTATCTAGTTGTATCAACGACGGGACGAAGTGGATCAACCTAGCAGAGGCGGCACTCCGGTGGGTCAAGGCCAAATGCTGGGCAACGTTTGTGGCGGTAATATTTGCAAGAACGGACAGAAGGGCAAATCTTTAAGCCGTCATGGAACACAGGATGAATGCCTCTTCGTAAGCAGATATGGACAGTCCGTACGAGGCGGGCCGAACATGTCTTCAAAACGCGCCGTCAACGAGGCCAAACAGGCCATATCCACATGTTGGATCTGAAAGGGCAATGATGTGATGTGAGCGACCGCTCGGACTTCGCCTCGGAACTCCAACGGGGGGACCGATAATTGGTGGACGGTGGACGGTGGACCTGATGGAAGTAAAGATTACAGGACGGGTAGGTCGGCTGGCATGCTTAGGTGAGAGCGAGAGAAAGTCGTTCGGCGCCAAAAAGGCAGAATGTCAGCTGCGAACGGCGGCTTTGCCAGAAGGGAAATGGACGATCGGCACGGCCGTGATGTGGGCGGGTTGAAAAACGGCGCGGAACTGTGGCTGTCATCAAATCGAGTCTAGCCGTGGCCCATCATGCTCTGTTGGAAGCATATCTGTAGTCTGTAAGATTCGGCCGGGCTTCGCAGGTGAAGACTGCGGGAATGCTCGATCTCATGAAGTTTGCGATGCGTTGTCAGCGGAAAAGAGATTGACGCCTGGAATCTCTGGCGTTGCTAACGGTGGTGACGCTGAGACATGCATATGCCATGCCAACGCGAATGAGAAGCGGAAAAAGAGCGGTGGGTTGGTTGAGGGGGATAGAGGCAACATGAGGACTACTACAAGCAGCATGAGACATTATTACAGGGCTTGGAGAGGCGATGGCATGATGTTGACGAGCGTCATCGGATTCGGTGTGTCGTGTGATTAATGCTAGATGCTCGCTGGTGGTACCAAGTTGGAGGCGTCGCCCGACAGGCAGACGCCGCGCCTGTGCCGCTGCCAGAGCACGTTTGGAAAAGCGCTAGGAGGAAGTCTAGAAGGAGCTGAATTCGAGAGGTCTGGGCAGGTCGATAGGTACCGCACCGGCAGCCAAAGAGAGAGAAGTTCCCGGTTCTTGCTCGAGCCAGCGCCCAGCTCTCGAGCGGTGAGATTCGCTGGGTGCCGACGGGAGTGAGGGAGTGTGTGAGTGTGTGAGTATGTGTTGTCTGTGGCGCACGGGCAGGCGCTAGGCAATTCCTGTATTTTTAACCCGGGGAAGGAGGGGTGGAAGCCACAGTTTACCTACCTAAAAATTGTCCGTGGAAGGCGCATGCACAGTACGAAAATCCCACAGGGGAAACTGTCATCACCTGACTTGGGCAGGTTTGAGCACAGTGCACGCGGCAGGTGCGACTGTGCATGTACGCGCTGCAGGTAAGCCCCTGGCTCCTTCATGTAAGATTTCCCCCGACGGCAGCATCCCATCCCGCCTCCCCCGTCGCTTTCCACCCCCTCAAAGGTCCTCAATAACCCAATCCCGACCTCGTAGCACGGCTATTTGTCGACTTGGCTTACCCTTTTCCATCGCATCTCTCTGCTCTCATTCGCCGACTGACGATACAGCGTCCTGCAGCCCATCATCCATCTTCCATGTCCCTGGAATTCTCCCAGGCCATCATCCCCAAGGTACCCCGGCCGAGATACCGCTGACTCCTCCTCCCATCAGACCATCACCTGGCCCGAATCCATCCGTTCGTCCCTAGGTAGTGGCCGCGGGCGACTTGCTGCACGGCATCTCACAAGTCCCCAACAACCTCGTGGATCCCTTGAGCTTCTTCCCTTCTTCATCTTCTGCGCCGCTGATCCTAAAAATAGCCCCCAACTCCCAGGCGCCGCGCCCGGGCAATTCTCTAAGCAAGCTGGTGACTCTTGCTATAGAGACGGCAGAACACGGCGCACGTCGATACGAGGCGCCCGATGATGTCGTTGAGCCCATGACCAACAAAGGACCGACCGGCTCTGGTTATTGTATACCTCTTCTATGTGCTACATTGATTAGTCTCCGACTGATTCGCCCATCAACCGCGCAGCTTAGTCACTCAACGGTGCCGCGCTTTTTGTTACCTCGTTCGTCTCTTGCCTTCGTCTTGGCGAATCAGACGCTCCGTCTCTGTACTGCTTCGTCCTGATCGACCCTGAAGCTCGCCAGTCGACGCAACCCAAAAAACGCCTTTTTTTCTTCTCTTTGCTTTTTGCAACGTTCTGCATTCGTATCCGCGAAAACTCCACTTACCCCGACCTTCTCTGGCGGCTGCCCGGCCAGATGAGCCTCACCGCCGACTATAAGACTGCTCAACAGCAGCACCTTGGCAGGAAGCCGGGTTCTTATCCTGCATACCGATCTACCTTCTCGCTTAGATACGTTGGCGACCGAGCCATGCCCTGGGATCGCGACAAATCATTTTGTTCCTGGCCCGCCGTAATGCCTCCCGTGCCAAGCAGTGTGATGCCCGAACCGTACGAGGCTTTCAGCTGAGCTCAAACGGTCCACCTTGACTTCTGTCATTCCATCTTTCTACACCACGATCTGGTCCGATTTTCAGGTCTCTCCCGGGTGTCCTCCAGTCAGGTTGCATGTGCCTGATTGCGGTCAGACCTCTGCCTGCTAAGGTAGACCGAATACACACCATTGATATCACATCAGAACCTTCAATGTGTCATTGCAAGCTGCCATTTGATGGTGGACATTGTGCTGACATGCTGCATGTCAAAATACCGAATCAAGCGCCTCACGAAGTACTGCAAACCTATCGGCGCACGTCCAGGTCATCCGTGAGTACCGAGCCATGAGATGTGGCTGTCCTCCAAGTGGCCCACCAGCCTCATCCTACACCTATTCTCAGCCAGTGTCACACGAACCCGTCAAAGCCGTCGTGGCAGCTCATAGGCGTAGGGCAAGAAATTCGCACCTCCAAGGCAGATAGATCTTGGGTCCAATTTGGGGATCTGACATGATCCGCACCACACAGCCGGCTCTGTCGCTTTCCGTCTGCCTGGTTACTGCCACCCATGACAAGCCGGAGCTCAGCCTCATCCCAGATTTGTCCCTGCTTGGCTTTTTCATCCTTTCTTAGTACGAATTTCCTCTGCCCCGTATCGCTAGCTCGACATGAACGACCTGAAGCATGTTCCATCTACCTCCATATGGCACAACAAACATACCTTCTTTCTCCACAACGCACGATCGTATCCACCATAGAGGGGACTTGGCTTATTGTTCCCTCCATGTCAGAAGGAGGCATGGTAACTGCCCAAGTGACAGGGGTTGGATGCACCCTCACTTCTACTCACACCTCACGTTCTTACTCGCATCAAGATATGCCTGGAAAGCTGCCGGTCCGAGTAGACGCCACCCCGAGTACTTGGGCATGCAAGCGCACTGAGACTATTGATGTCGCCTCCCCAAAAGAGGCTAAGGCCTTGGAAGGCCGCTCCAGGCAAGACTTTACATTGATACACAAGATGTATATAATTCCAACCCTCCCTTCTGATACCTCGACGGAATGGTAGATCACCAATTCAGTCGCTCATCTCCTACTAGTCTTGTGCTTTCACGTTCATCATGCTTTCCAATTTAATGAGCTCCAGCCTTGGGGCTTTTGTCCTTGCTTCTCTCGCCCACGCCAACCCCATTCGTTCGGTTGAGCAAAGGCAGACAGGTTGCGGTACCAATGGTATTGGTAACAGAGAATGCTGGACTGGAGACTTCAATATCGAATCCGATTTCGAGACCTTGACACCGCCTCAGGGAAAGCTGAGGACAGTGAGTATTGTCTCTGCTCGATATATCTCACAAATGCTGAAACCTTGAGTAGTTCGACTTCACCCTGAGCAACTTGACCGATGTCGCACCAGACGGCGTTCACAAGCCGGCCATGTTGATCAACAATCAGTTTCCGGGTCCGACAATCGAAGCGGACTGGGGAGATACCATTCAGATCAACGTTCACAACCAACTCCAGAACAACGGCACCTCATTCCATTGGCACGGCATGCATTTGCGCGGCCACAATGATCAAGACGGCACCAACGGTGTCACGGAATGCCCCATCCCTCCTGGACAAAGCAAGACGTACTCCTTCCAATTGACTCAGTACGGTACATCTTGGTATGTAACCTTCTTTATGTGACCTTCTAACTTGGACCCACCGACTAATGCGTCCGCTTCAGGTATCACAGCCACTTTTCCGCCCAGTACGGCAACGGCGTTGCTGGCGCCATCCAGATTAACGGCCCGGCGTCTGCTGACTACGATATTGATCTCGGCCCATTTGTTATCAGTGATTGGTACTATGGAACGGCAGACAACCTCCTACGTCAAGCCGAGCTTGCGCCAGCTCCTCCACCGCCTAGCGACAACATTCTCTTCAACGGCAAAAACATCAACCCGCTCGGCGCTGGCGGTCAGTACCAGAAGACGAGGCTGACCCCGGGCAAGAAGCACCGTCTTAGGCTCATCAATACTTCCGTTGACAATACGTTTACTGTCTCCCTTGTGGGCCACAACTTCACCGTCATTGCCACCGATCTTGTTCCCGTCAAGCCTGTCGCCAAGGACAGCCTCTTCATGGCCGTCGGCCAACGCTACGATGTGATCATCGAAGCCAACAAGGAAATTGAGAACTACTGGTTCAACGCGACCGTCGGTGGTGGTGGTTTTTGCGGCGCATCGAATAATCCTTATCCTGCTTCTATCTTCTTCTACGATGGATCCCCAGACAGACTGCCCGTCAACCAAGGCACACCTCCTGCCAACCTGGGTTGCGCCGATACCACCGGATTTACCCCTGTGCTCTCTAGGACGGCTCCCTCGGACAAGTTTGATCCGAGCAAAACGCTGGATATTTCTCTGGCGACACCGACGATCAACGGCGCAGCGGTCTATCGCTGGAAGGTCAATGGCAATGACATTGACATCCAGTGGGACAAGCCAACTCTAGAGTACGTCGCCAAAGGCAACAACTCCTGGCCGGTACGTGCCAACATCATTGAGATCCCTGAGGCCAGCGAATGGACATGGTGGGTGATTGAGAACACGGGCACTCTGCCGCATCCCATCCACCTCCATGGTCACGACTTCTTGATTCTCGGCACTGGCAGCGGCACTTTCAGCGGTTCAGAAGGTCTCACCTTCGAGAATCCAACTCGCAGAGACGTCGCACAACTCCCCGGCTCTGGGTGGATGGTGATCGCATTCAAGACGGACAACCCGGGCGCCTGGCTCATGCATTGCCACATCGCCTGGCATGTGAGCATGGGTCTCAGTGTTCAGTTCCTTGAGCGCAAGAGCGAAATCGCTTCGACGCTCGATCTGGCATCAATCACCCCAAATTGCGATGCTTGGAGAAAGTACGAGCCGACGGCGGTATGGCCCAAGCATGATTCCGGATTGTAAAAAGTCCATCGTCTCGGGCTGGCTGAGAGCACAGGTAGCATTAGTGGCGTCCAATTGCTGTGTGGACCGACGACAGCACCAAGCCAGCCTGGTGCCTCAGCCTCCAACGTCATACTACTTTTATTGGCCTTTTCGCGGGTTTTGACTCGATGTCAGTGTGGCGACGTAACCCTTCCTTATTGCCAGGATTCGCTGGCGTGCGAGATTTGGGCCTCTCTGGTCCCGTCAAGGGCCACCGGCGCGCATGACAGCCACACCACCTTGTCGCAGCGGACTTCCGGGCCTCACACGCATCTTTCGCTCCCTAATTGATAATCGACCTACGAAGCGAGGATTTGGGAGGGAAATAACTACTATTTTGCAGGCGCGGGCATTTCTTCGGTGTTTTTCTTTCTGCATGGGTTGGAGTTGTCCGGTTCCTGATACCTATTTTGTCCGCTCCACTCTATCGATTGGTCTCTTTTCTTGCACACGGGTTTAAAACATGTATAGAATGGGTGAGCAGTGTCGCAATTTCATTTGCTCGGACTTTTCTACCAAATATGCCTTACTCTTATTTCATCAAGTTTTCAAGTAATTAATGGGATTTCCCGCGCATACGTTTCAGCCCTATGTCATATGTACATGCAATGCGGTAAGCAACATTTCTCCTGCGCGGTGAGTTCGGGCATACATCGAGCGGGCTCGCAGCAGCGGAAAGTGGGAGAATACAGCAGCAGCAGCAGTAGCAGCAGCAGCAGCAGTCGAGTACAGATAAGCGGAATCCGGTCGCGCTCTCGGGATACCACGGCGAAGACCAGCAGCACGCGACCACTCCGCGGCGACGAAAGTAGGCACACCCAAAATCCTAAATGCCGAGGACTGCGGTAGAGGGGGGGCGGATGATGCGAGGGTTGTGGTGTGTGACCTCGGCTCGCATCGCCCCCAATCCCCAGGCTCGGGGTTTTGGGACGTATGTCAGCTTCGGTCCTCAGTTTTTGGATGGTGTGGTGTGGTGTGTTGCAAGGTGTGCAGATGCAAGCCTGCTTGGCGAAGCTGATTGCATTTTGACGGCGGAGGGCGGCTGCACGGAAAGGGAGTGAGCTGTGTTTGGATGGAGAGAACTTTCTACTGCGGCTGCTAGTAGTGGAGGACGACGGCATCTGTGAGGACACCCGGGCTGGACGGGGACGGGTACGGAGGGGGACGGGATTGGGACGGGCTTGAGGGTGGCCGCCAAGATCTGCCAATGCTGATCACGGAGCTTGGCGGGGTTAAGGTGGGACCTATCGGTGGTCGGTGGACATGCCGCGGCCGACCACCGACCGTATGGGTTGGACCGGTATCGTCTTGGGGATTTCGCGGACCCGTTTTCTCGGGGATCGGAGAACCGCTGGGTCCGAGATTGGACAGCGATCATTGACGGATGGTCTGCGAGTCTCGATGAGTGCTGCGTGGAGCGCTGCAAAGAGCATGAAATTGGAGTCTGGCTGATAACCTTGGAAGAGTGTGGGTTGTTCTACGTGTCATCATTCTGTCGACGTCGACGTGACCTGTTCTCCGTCTCTTTCGCGAAGTGAGGTATGCTTTTGGTTCAGTGTCGTTCCCACAGCGTCGAAACCCTAGACGAATCGCCCCGGCATATCCGACCCATGTGTACCGCACAACCAAGGGGTCACTCATTTCACGACAAAGAACGCAATCGTGTCCAGCATCTCTTGCAGAGTACACTGCCAACCCCTGCTACCAAAACCCCAACAGCACCACCAACCACCCGAGAGGCGCCCCCCCCCCCTGCCCACTTCATCGTCGGCCCCCGGTGAACTCCCGGCCCGAGACTACATCTCATCATCATCAAACAGCGTCGCGAGCGGCCTCTCCGAGACGGGTAATCCCTCCACGGGAGACCCGGGGACGGAATACCCCCAGCATGTCCTTCGGGAAGAAGTCATCTCCGAGCTAGGGTATGATTCGTCGGAAGAGGTCCTTTGATAAAGGGGGGAAGCTGAGGCAGAAGAGCGAGCCGGCGCGGCGGCCCGGGGAGCAGTGTTGCGCTCTGCGGGCGCGGATTGGGCGGTGTAGAGGTTGGATAGCGCTGCTTTGATTGTTTCTTTTGCTAGAGGGGGAGGCGACGGACTGTGTGGGGAGCGTGATTTTGGGCGGGGCGTTGAGGAGGTGTGCTGCTGATTCGATTGCATTGTTGACGTCTTGGGCTGTGATGGAATGGGTCTAGATTGGGCGTCTTGGTATGAGATTGCTGTTTTGTGGAAATGTACCTCAGTGTTGCGGGAGAAGTAATGGGGGTTGTGGTGGTGTTTTTACCTTGTGAGATGAGTCCCTGATGCGAACAATCCTCTCAAAATGCCACTGCGAAAACGCGTGCTCCTCGAGCGCCCCCAGCGCAGACGTGTTTTCACTTTCGTAGGGGTGCCCGAACGTCGGTTTATCAGTGACGAATTCGTCCATGGACTCCTCCGCCATCGCGGCCCGTCCCTACCATACTGCGGAGACCCGGCTACTGGGCGCAGATACGGTGACCGAGCCGCGGCCTCGGGAGAAGGCAGAGATGGGGACGGATTTAGTGTGGTAAATAAAGGAGCCGTTTGCCGCCGTCGACCCCCCTAAAGTCCATCCGGTAGGTTGCAATCCCCGGCCAGCTCGCGGATGCGGGGGTTAGCAGCCGAGTTGGTCGGCAAGATGCGCGGGTCGTTTGTGGGGAGGCTGATACTGGTGCCGACCTGGGCAGCGATCGAGAGGGAAGCTTCGAGGAGGGTGTAGTCCATCTGTCGAACTTTTCTGGCATGTTTGCCGGGGTGATGCCGGCTACGCTGCCTCTCCCGATGATGATTTTGAGGTCCATAGTGTGAATGTGTGTGTGTTGGCGGTGGTCGTGATGAGGTTTGGGTGATTGAGGATTCGGTTTGTATGAGGGCGCTGCTGTCGTGATATCAAGACTCCCCTGAGTGTTCATATACCGCTCGCCATGATATTGCGATAGCCGTAGAGTCCGCTCGTCTCCCATATTATCGAGAATTGACAACGTATTCTGCTGCGGCCATATTACACCATGGAGGAGACTGGATCTTTGCAACCTCCGCGGCCCCGATATCAGAGAGGAGAAGCTTTTTGTGAGCATGAACTTGCTTCTGTATGGACACCTACCTTACCCAAGATAGGACAACACCGTCAGATACATACTAAGTTGCTGCGGATTCCTTTCTTGGCTCCAAGTTGTCGGGTGAAGGGGAAAATAACATTTGACGATGTCTTTTGCAAAGTTGCGATGGTTATACAGTAATATCTCGAACCTTAGTCACAAATCATGGTATTCTATACGTACAGAACGATGCTTTCTGATGCTATGTTGGTCCAGGCAGAGACCTTCCCGCTGATCCGGAAACCCCGTCATCAGAAGTAGGTACAAGACGTTAGGCAGTCTGCAATGCTAGATTCACCAAGAATCTATGCCTGGAAGTCAACGAACTTGGCAAGTTCATTCGGGATCCATCAACAAAAAGGTTCCAATAGACAAGGAGCGCATTCATAATCTATAGGCTCAAAGAGGGATTCGGTCTCGGGCAGGCTAAATGGCATGTCGCCCAGCCCTTAAATCTCATCACTAGTCGTCAGAACCTCCACCCCCGACTAGGGCAAAAGACCATATGACGTTTGGATCAAGATGGCTGTGAGACTTTTGACTTGGGTTCTAGAGGACCAGAAAGGGAAAGTTCAATTGACTTCCTTCACATAGATGATAGGGAAGAGAGGCTTCTGCAGCCGTATTCAGGGAAGCCGAGACGGCCGCCGCAGACTCCATTTCCATCGATGACGGGCCCCGCGGGCACCATCATGTTGGCTGCGGATGCCGGGTCGGACGTGGAAGGGCTAAGTAGATCTCATGCCGGTCGGAAAATAATTTGGACGGGCCGCAGTGACGGGCCGCGTTGCAACTACGGGGCTTGATCCACAAGACTAAATGGACATGCATGGATCGCGCGGGACTGGATTGACTTGGCGTCCCATGGTTATTTGTTTGATTCACTCACGAGATTAGGGATGAGTGCGAGACCATGTTGGCTTGATGATTATCTCTCTTGCATACGCTACATCCCGAATTTCACAAAACGAGCGCAAGCTATACCGGTTGGGACTTGGCACTGGTGATGACGAGACTCCACGAGAGAGTGTTGAAGCCGGCTAGTCTCACCATCTAAGAAAGAAATTGGTTCTAGTCAAAGCCCTAAATACAATAAAACGTCAAACATATAGGTGTCAGGCCAAATGTGGTTGCCAACGAAGCAGGTGTCGATATTGTTTATCCAAGTTTTCACCGGTTTCAAAAACTCCAGTATCCAAGAGCAGCCCAAAGAGATCCTTGGACTAGTTCTTCTCTCAAACATCAACAGCCAGCTTTAACCGCTACCTTTCGCCGTAGGTATGCGCGTCACTTTTCTGGCAGCTCTCCAACCCTGGCTCGTGTGTCGCTGCGGGCCCCAAGGAAAACGGTTGATGCCAGAGTCAAGGAGTCCGCAATATCGGCGCATGCTTATGTCTGGGCAACGGAAAGTGTTCATGCATAGGGGTTTGATAAATGTGCAAGCCTGGAATGACGGAGGATGCTATCTCCAAAGACATGCTTAAGGCGCAAACTTGAGCAGACCTTTTGGCCGGTGGCGTACTGTGCGAAGTTTGAGTCATCTACCATTGTTTTCTCATGGACTACGCTACAAATAGGCATCTATTGATTAAAGGCTTAACATTGACGGACTTCTATGACTTGGCGGTTAAAATCGTCTGAACCAAGGCGAGGTCTCTTACTACCTTCGTGAATTTGTCAAGAATACAAGGAGGTTTTGGAGTGCTAAGAATCAAGAGAGTCCGTTCCTCCCGACGGTGTGAACGCCCTATTTCTACAGTGGAGTGCCACAAAGTCTGAGAACACCCCACCAATTTCTTGTTACGCGTCTCCGCCTGACTTCCCTCAGGATACGTCAACTCTTTCCCCCTCCGATAACCCGAGTATTCTTCCGGCAAATGGACACCGATGGCGATTTGCGCGCTTTCGCATCCCGCCTCTCGGGGGATCGAACTCCCGGCCACGAACTCAAGGAGCAGGAACGAGTAGCCATTATTGCCCTTGTTCTGGCTGGCCGAAGCTATCGAAACGTCGCATCGATTTTCAACTGCTCAGTTGGTGCGGTCGCCTCCACACTTCGACGATACAGGAAACACCAGACCTTTCAGGCAGCACCCCGGAAAGGCAGGCCCAAGAAAGTTTCAGCCGACGCAGCTGACACGTAAGTGAGCTACCTGCTTGGGTCCCAACTTTCGTATCGCAGCTTTGTCAACTAACTAAATTAGGAGAAGCATTCAGACTTGATTCGAGACGAGTGATGGGGTGGGCTCGTCCGCTTGTCGCGGTGGTTGTGTCTGGCAACTCGACCACGTTTCCCCGCTTGTTTCTCACCATTGTCAGGAGTCTTCTTGCGTAAAAGCTGGACGCATGGAAAGCGCATGTCCAACGGACGTATTGCACAGTTAGTTTCCTCATTGATATCTCCATTGCTCGACGCTGTGAACGGGGTGATAGACTTCATATTCATCCCTACCCCACCGAGTTCTAATAACAATTCTATTACTCATCCGAACCTGGCAAGTCCTCGGCGAAGAACTCCTCCGCGGCCTGGTCGCCTCTTTTCACCTTGACCTCTTTGACATCATCGTCGGTCTCGGCCAAGGTGCGCCTCTCGAGGTCGCCGGCCTCTTCCAGATCGGCCGCCACGAGTTCCGAGTTTGAAAGCTCGTCCCGCTTAATGATGATGTCGGGCAAGTCGGCTACCGCCGCCCGGGGTTCGGGGGAAGCGGGAGACTGTGTTGAAGACTTGGTGTTAGCCGTACGGCTCAGGTGGTCGGGTCTATTGCGAAGAGGACCACGCGCAGAGTGCATTACGGGAAGGAGTGAGACTTACACCTGCCACGACTGCGTCTCTGACGCCGACTTTGAGGGAGTTCACACCAGTGACGGCGACCAGGCCGATAGCGAGAAATGACTGCAGCTGCATGTTGAATTGAAATGATGACGATGAAAAATAAGTTGATGAGATGTATAACCTGGGTTGAGTGAGAGGCGAGTGCGAGCCGGGTCAGCCGTGGGCTTCAGTTGACCAGCCTCCGAACTATATACCATTCACGACCGCGTAGGTCCGGCAGGTTTTGGAGTGGTGCGTCGCCCGCATGCCGTTCAAGCGACATCTGAACTCCTCGACCAGCATCAGTGTCAAAAGTGTAACCGCAAGATTACGTTTCACATCTTGGACCAACCCCCCAAGGACAGGCCCTGCAGCCCTGGAAAAGGTCAAGGCTTGCCGCTTGTGCGCGCGCGGCGAGAGAGGGACAACGACCTAGTCATGGGGTTGACAAAAAGAAAAGGCACACTGAAGCGGCTATCTATATCTAGGTCTTCTTCTACTTTATCAACCGCTATGAAATCTAATTATGAATTCACAAATCTTGAGTCCAAAGGGCACATGTTTTGTGAAAACTAGTTTTATTTTTTGTTACTTGAAATAGATTTGAATAATCTACTTCCTCCTTTGTTGTTCAATGTTGAAGTTGATAGTTGCTTGCATATGTGCCGCTCTTTTCTGACAACCGCGTGCTAGTGCACGCTGCACAGGACGGGCAACGCGGCCACACTCGGACTGCCGGCGTCGCGATGCTCTCGACCTGTCAGATCTTCGTCTCATGAGGCTGAGCGCCTTTTACAGCACTCCCAAAACGCTGACACCCTTGAAATCGCTGTTCAGACGGGGTCAATGAAGTTACGCGGGCCCTGTTAACCGTCCCTAATGTACCGAAAGAAGAGGCGGGACAAGACTAGAGATTGGTGTCGGGGTCGCTTCCACGGGCGCTGTAGTGAAACAAGACAGGTTTCTGACGCAACTCTCGCGGTGCGACGTCTGTATGAGGGGTGCCAGAGTTCCAATTGCGCGACTCTCCAGGGGTCCACTTTCGCCCTCGCCGTATCCGCAATCGTCAGATCAAGTGAGGCAATCCGGTGACAGGTGCCGCTTGCCGATTGATCCTCGGCATACCGGCATGCTCAAAACGCGTCAAACGGAATCGACAAGTCGGTAACTGAAGCTTCTCTAATGAACTGAGGGACAGGGGCCTTGAATATTCCAATAACAATTCACCTTCAAGCAATTCGAGTCGATTATGATCAAGGCAACGCAGATGTTTGCATACACTGGTCTGGCGGCATGTCACGGCAAAGTGCGAAAACGAAAACGAGCCCCGAGTGTAAAGTCCTGTTCGTATCAGTCATTTTTGATATCAAAATCTAGTACCCAGCGCTCAGCAAATGGGCGGGATGACGTCGCTAGGTACTCTGAGCCCGTCTGAGCCATCAAGGTTCTCTCTGCGCCTGAATAAAACAATGGTTCTAGTATAACTCCATCTTTTCTAAATTTTCAAGATGAATCAATCCGTTGGGAGCCTGAGAATCTGTTAGCATTGCCTTGTCAGGATCCAGCATCGTTCGAGAAAACGCACCGGAATGTACTGCCTCAGCTTGACCCCCGCCTGCCGGAACACCGCCGCCGTCTCCGTGTCCATGCTGTAGCCGTGAGCATACACCACCTCGTCAATGCCGACCTGGCAAATCTTGATACTGCACGTCAGACACGGGCACGTGTCGCAGTACAGCACGGCGCCCTCGCGGATGCGCTCGCGGCCGGCCTCGAGCAGCGCGTTCTCCTCGGCGTGGATGCACAGGCACGTAGCCAGGCCGACGCCAGAGGAGTTGCCCGAGTTGCAGCGGGAGCAGCCGCCGTCGGAACAGTTTTGCAGGCCGCGGGGCGTGCCGTTGTAGCCCGTGGATATGACGCGTTTCTCGCGCCCGACGAGGACCGCCCCGACGCGGCGCTTCATGCAGTTTGAGCGTAGCGAGGCCAGCTCCGCGAGGGACATGAAGTAAGCGTCCCAGGTGGGCCGGAGGCGGACGGGGTTGGCGAGGTCCAGCTTGCCGAGGGTGGCGTAGAGGTGCGCGATGGAGGAGGAGGTGTTGAGGAGGCGGACGGTTGCGCGCGAGATGAGCGGTTGCAGGCCCTGTTTTGGGTCGTAGAGGTGGCTGTCCGAGGCGAGGGCGAAGGATTCGAGGGTGCAGTGGGGGTTGTGCAGGGCGCGGAAGCGGGCGTGGCGGACTGTCACGGGGGCGTCGACGGAGATAAGCATGAAGAAGGGGCGTCTGGAGAGGATGTCGAGGATGGCTTCGTTGTGGACGTCTGTGGTGACGAAGCGTGATTGCCAGCGGGTGGTGACGTATTCCAGCAGGGAGTCGGCTGACGAGAAGATGAGCTCGTTGGGGTAGTGAGAGTGAAGGCCGTTGGTACGCGGTTGTCCGCTCACAACGGTAAGAGGGCGGAAGGAGAGTGCGGGTTTCTGTGGTGTTTTTGTCTCTTTGGCGGCGTCGCCGCTGATAATTACGGTGGTACCTGCGTTCTCGAGAGGGGCGCCGAGAAAGTGAGGGCATTCAGGCTTGGTATGACCCATCTCGTTGCAGTTAAAGCATTTTTGCGGTCCCTTGCTCTTCTTCTTCTTGTTCTTGGAAGAGGACTGCTGCTGGGAGCCCGAGTCATCGTGACCGTTGGTAGATGGAGCGACAGCTTGCTCCGGCTCTGGCCGCGGTCCCGGCGCCGGGGGTGTGATGGAGGCCGGAGGCTCATCTCGGGGTGGAGTTGCGGAAGGGTCCGTCAAGCGAAGCAATCTAAACCCATGATGCTCAACTAAGTATTGAGCAACGCTCTTCTTACCGGCGCAGATACCTTGGGATTTGTCAAAACGATGTCTGCAGTTGCTGAAGTGGATTGAGAGTGACCAAGAAGCCGACTTACCACCGCAAATTCCAATGAGCATCTTGGCTACCCTAAGTGGACCGGTTTTATTTGGGAGAGTGAGTGGACGGGTAAAGCTGTCCGAATCTGCACACTCAGATCGGTGACATACAATGTGCAGCTCTGCCGGATGTGCAAGCTCTTCAAGTCAACCCGGCAACAAATGTCCAATTGAAAAGTCGCGATCCGAATTCTGTGCATGAACGCGTCTCCACGCGTAAAGCCGTTTTGCGGCTCGGGCCCGATGAATTGGGTGTCCCCCGCGCTCATCGGGTTGAGCTGCTCCGACGTTTAGCCGGCGGGACCTGCAGAGAGCATGACACAATCATCCCGTGGCACCGAGCTCCCCCCCACCTTTGCAGTCCAGCTGAGGCGGGCAGCCTGGCGGGGGAGAGAGAGAAGCTACCCGACCTGGCACCTGCCCAAGGTGGTTGCCCTATCGTGTCTCCTCCGTCAGACAACCATCTCATTCCCAAGGAAGCTCTCACCAGTCTTGTTCTTGTGACTCGCTGACTGCAACAAGTCGCCGCTTGACTGTCCGTCCTTGTGACTCTTTCCAACTTGACATTTCCAAGCATCCCTCAGGCCCAGCGATACCACCCGGATCCCTCCGCTTTGTCCGGAGGCCGGTCGGAAGTGCGACCTGCCTGTTCCGTCATATTGTGAGCAGTCGACACTTTTGAGTCATTTCGACCCAAATTAAGACCTGCTTTCGGTCTGCACTCCTACATCCCCAAAGTTCCAAAGTAAACCCGACATCTAGGATATTCTCCCGGTGTCAATATCGTAGCACAGCCCGGATACCGAGTTGCGGCGCACCCCATAGCGAAGACCGCCCACATTTCCAACCGAGCGCAAAAAGAGTGCGCGCCCACCACAGCTCGCCCACCATGGCAGCAATCCAATACGCGCCTTTCTCCTCCGAGATCGAGCTGCCGTTTTACGCCGCCCTCTTCTCCTCAAAGCTCGAACATGATAAGCTAGACGACTCGGCGCGCCGCGTGCTGGGCCAGTACACTGCTCTACCTGTTGAACCAGGCCAGAGCTGCAAGATGTCCATCCTTGGGAATGCCCTCACCAGCGACCAGTAAGGTGCTATTGCAGAGCTTGAAGTCTGCTTCGCGAGGATCAGTTCGGGACTGACGAGGAGAGTAGGCCCAACGACGAGCATGTCCGCGCTGAGGGCTGGATCAAGAACGTCAACACGATCGAGGACTTCAAGAATACGGATAAACAAGCTATGCTGAAATTAGCAGCGAGACATGTAAGCTTAGATCATAATTACCGACAGACACCTGTGCGAGTTCTAACTGTCCTCTGTTCAGGTATGGGACGCCATCAACGACGGCACCATCTACTCCGTACCCTCCCTCCTCTCCTCCTTCACCATCCTCTCCTACGCCGACTTGAAGAAGTACAAGTTCACATACTGGTTCGCGTTCCCGGCGCTGCACTCGGATCCCCAGTGGAAGCGGACAGGGCCGATCGGTCGCCTTGATCCTAAGGAGAGCACGGCGCTGGTCGATCGAGTGGGCACGTGGCAAGCCAACCGCGACAAGAGGCAGAACGGCTTCTTCCTCGCCAAGAAGGCGAGAGGTGTGGATGTTAGCGATTTAGATAAGGACGCGAATAGCGATCTCCACGACCTCAACGATTCTTTTGGCTACGTGTGGGAGGTTGCCAACCTCGGAGATTTCGAAAACGGATTTTTCGATGACGTTGCCGAGGAAGACCGATACGTTTCGTTCGTCGACCCGTCGACATACCCCGAGAACCCGTCATGGCCACTGAGGAACCTCCTTTGGCTTGTTCGGCAGCGGTTCCGCCAGACAAAGGTACAAATCTTGTGTTACCGCGATATCAGGTCCAGTAGGCATGCGGCTAGAAGCATCATCCTGCCCTTGGAGATGGATCCGGTAGAGCCACTTGCGGTGGCTGAGATGCCCAAGGTCACAGGCTGGGAGCGAGATGGAGAGGGCAAATTGCGAGCCAGGATCGCCAATCTCGGGGAGTATATGGATCCGACACGACTTGCCGACCAGTCCGTGGATCTGAACCTCAAACTCATGAAATGGAGGATTTCACCGAATCTGGACCTGGACACCATCAAATCCACCAAGTGCCTGTTGCTAGGTGCCGGTACGTTAGGAAGCTACGTTTCTAGAAACCTGATGGGCTGGGGCGTCCGGAAGATCACGTTTGTAGACTACGGACGCGTATCGTACTCGAACCCCGTACGGCAGCCCTTGTTCGAGTTCGAGGACTGCCTGGAAGGCGGCAAATTCAAGGCAACGCGGGCTGCAGATGCCTTGAAGAGGATTTATCCCGGTGTTGAGAGTGAGGGTCACGTCCTGTCGGTTCCCATGTTGGGCCACCCTTTCACAGATGAGGCCAGGAGTAAGGCGGACTACGACAAGTTGAAGCAGCTGATTGATGAGCACGACGCCATCTTCCTCCTGATGGACAGCCGAGAGTCGAGGTGGCTTCCGAGTGTTCTGGGCAAAGCCACCGGTAAGATTGTCCTAAACGCCGCGCTTGGTTTCGACTCTTTTGTGGTGATGCGGCACGGTGCGGAACCGAATGATGTCCAGTCAGAGGATAAAGAGCGCAAGACACTGGGTTGTTACTTTTGCAACGACGTGGTTACACCAGCCGATGTGAGTAGACCTGCCCTTCGAGGTCGAATGCTCCAGCTAACATTTCGCAGTCGCAAAAAGACCAGACCCTGGATCAGCAATGCACGGTAACTAGACCCGGTGTCGCGGCGATCGCGTCGGCACTGCTCGTAGAGCTGTTTGCCAGTCTACTCCAGCACCCCCTCAAGCAACACGCGCCAGCGCCCCAGACCTCGGCAGACGAGAAGGATCCCGTGGACCATGCTCTAGGACTGGTGCCTCATACGGTCCGCGGCTACCTGCATAGTTTCAATAATAAGGTGATTCGCGGAGAGTCGTACCCGTGCTGCAGTGCGTGTGGTCCTCCCATCCTGGAGGCCTACCGAAACGATGGCTGGGGCTTCGTCAAGAAGGCGCTTTTGGAGAAGGATTTTGTTGCCGAGTTATCTGGGCTCGCGGAGGTGCAGCGGGAGGCTGAGAAGCGGGCGGCGTATATGGATTGGGAAGAGGAGGAGGACGGGGCGGATGACGGGGACGGAGAGTTGATCTGACTTCTCGGGTCCTCAAGCAATAGACGAATTATGGACGACTTTTTTGCAATGAGGTGTCACGGCGGGATAGACGAGGCGTTTGAATCTGGCAAAGGAGATTGTTGGCGTCTTGGCATTCATAGAGTCTCTTTGGGATTTTCCTTTCCGAGGGTTGGAACTACCTGGGTATGGCGAACCTACCTATCCGTGTTTCGCCGGTTTAGCGAGATAGGCGGAACACCATTTGCAGCTCTTGAATGAATGGGTTCCAATCAGCTGATAGGCGACACATCCACCCGCCCATTTCACGGTTCTTCATTTCTCGATGTTGATATGAGGTACGAGCTCAGTGTTGGCTAAATTGTGCACAATCGCACACCATGCAGCTTTGGGCCATAAGGCGAGAGATGTGCAGATGACAGGGTTCCCCACACTAGCTTGACCCTCTGCTTCCCGCCCGTGACCGCGAGGGATGCAGCCATTCCGCGACCTCTCGGATCCCCAAAAATACCGGTCCACCTAAGACTTTTTGCATGGCGGATACACGTAGCTCTGTTAGGGAGTCCAAATCTCAAAAAGTACCTCCTATTCTTGGAGAGGAGCCTCCCCTGCGGCACGCCCCAGGTTCCTGACGGCGCCATGGACGCTACCTGGGCGTGGCGGAGGATTACCTAAGTGCGCTAAGGCACAGCTTGCATTTCTTTTTAGTCAGGTGTGCCGGGGCCAAGTGCCAACGTAAGACAGAGCAGCCGACTCCATTTGGCGACTGAGGCGAGGAGACACTTGTGTTCCAACCTATTCATCTCTTCATATTGTGTACCATCATCTTTATGTCTTGGGTCTTTTCATCTACGCTCATCCATCGGAAAATATAGAAGAGAAGCCAAAATCCAGGACGTACTCACGTATCGAATGTCTGGAGACCGTTTAGGGGGGTGTGGGACGATTCCGGCGATTTAAGGTTGGAGGCGAGAGGACGGCAACAGGCGGCGGATCCATCGGAAACCTCGACTCTGAGTTTGAGACTCATCGTAATCGCGTGCGTCACTTGCTTTCGATTCAATATCCAAATCGATACGAGCGCGCAAAACCCAACTCTGTGACTTTGCATTCTTAGCAAAGTTACGCTCAGAATCCACAGATATGCTGCGCTCCATCATCAGGCGCCTGGCGTCGGATCAGCCTGAGTCCGTCAATGATTACCTAGGCGTCGTGGTCCCCCTCGAAGAAGCCCATCTGCATAGTCACTCAGCCCGGACGGGCAAGTGCGAATTCGAGGAACGGCCGAGCGAGGAGCACGACGACAACGCCGAGGATGATGGCAAGGACCAGGGTGAGACCGCGGGGATGCTGGAGATGAACGCTGCTGAGTATACCATCGAGGGTTTGAGAAAGGAAGTCAGAAGAGGTGGGCAGGGTCGATGGACTGAGTACGAGTGTGAGTTTGTAATCTTTGAGGCATTAAAGAAGTGCCGATGCATTGGTCGGATGGGCGCTAACGTGGGGGATAGTAAAGTCGAAGCTCATCAACAAGGCGATCCAGGATATTGGCATGGGGAGGTATAACTGGCAACTCTTCGTCCTCTGTGGATTTGGATGGTTTGCAGATAAGTGAGTCTCGCTGTCTGATGGCTATGATGAGAATGGCATTGACCAAAATTTCCTAGTCTGTGGATGCACGTAAGTTCAGCATCAGTTTCGGTTCCAGAGTAGCTACCCCGGTATCTTCAAGCGGTACTAATTTCAACCGCAGGGTGTTGCACTCACATTACCATCTCTGTCCGCCGAGTTTGGCATCTCAGAACAGCGCGTCCGCTACACGACGTCGTCCATCTTCCTCGGACTCTGCTTCGGCTCTTTTATTTGGGGTATCGGTTCCGACGTCCTCGGCCGTCGCATCGCCTTCAATCTCACCCTGCTCATCACCGGCGTCTTCGGTATCCTCCTGGCTTTCGCACCGACGTGGGGCTGGGTGAATGTTCTCTTCGCGGCCCTCGGTTTCGGTGTCGGCGGAAATCTGCCCGTGGATGGCGCGCTGTTCCTTGAGTTCTTGCCCGACGCATCGAGCAGTCTGCTAACCCTTCTTTCGGTGTGGTGGCCGGTCGGTCAGCTGTCTTCGTCGCTGGCGGCGTGGTATTTCATTGCAAACTGGCCGCCTGAACAAGGATGGCGGAGGTTCGTGCTGACGATTGGGTTAATCACATTCGCCATGTTTGTTGTGCGGTTTTTCGTCTTCCGCCTATTTGAGTCTCCAAAGTTCTTGCTCTCAAAGGGACGTCAGTCTGAAGCTATTGGCGTCGTTCATGGAATCGCCTTTCGCAACGGCGCAAAGACTTGGTTGACCGAAGAGATCCTGGATGCTGTGGTCGATGGGGTGGCCGACGAGGATGAGGAGCATTCAAGAAGTGGCCGCTCGGGAGTGCTCCGCGGCTCGGGTCTCGCCACAAACGCTCTGCGCGAGAGGATGAAGGCCTTTTCTGCAGATCGCCTTCGACCCCTCTTCAAAACTCGGACGCTCGGCCTCGCTACCGTAATCGTCTGGTTCGTCTGGGCGACCATCGGCATGGGCTACCCCCTCTTCAACGCCTTCCTCCCGCAATATCTCTCCCACGGTGGTGCCGCCCCTCCGCCCGAGGGCTCCCCAGACGCAGGAGCTACACCAATCACGCCAGACACATATCGGACCTACGCAATCACCTCCGCCGTCGGTGTGCCAGGCAGCCTGCTGGCAGCCTACCTTGTCGACCAGAAATCTCCCTGGCTAGGGCGCCGCGGCACGCTCGCGTGCTCGTCCTTTGTGTCGGCCGTCTTCCTCTTCCTGTTCGTCAAGTTTGGCACCTCGCCCGCCTCGCAGCTCTTCTTCTCCTGCGTCGAGGCCTTCTCCCAGAACATCATGTACGGCGTGCTCTACGCCTTCACGCCGGAGATTTTCCCGGCGCCGGTGCGCGGGGCCGGGACGGGCGTGGCGAGCTTCTTGAACAGGGCGATGGGGCTTTTGGCGCCGCTGCTGGCAGCGAACATACCGGGCGACGGGGTCACGACGCCGATTTTTCTGTCTGGGGCGTTGATCTTGGCAGCGTTTGTTGGGATGTGTCTGATTCCCATCGAGACGAGAGGTCGGCAGAGGTTGTGATTGTTGGACTGTCTGATTATAGGGCTGGTGCGAGTTCTCTGGTACATAAAACTGATTTATTTGCTCAGACTCTGTGATATCTTTTTCATCTATTTTTTACTATCTTCCTGCGGACGATTATTGACAAGCGGTTGGCCCTGGTGAAGACTTTGTGCCGAGATGGGGTAAGATGGCAGCCCTATGAGCCTGCCGACGCATCAAGTGGACCTGCGTTTCTCCTGGACTTGAGGTGCTCTCTCGAGCCTGCTGTTTGAATCGTTCCGCTTTTGCGGCGGAAGGCACCTTTAACATTGTCCACTTGCCTAGCTGAGAAACTTCCACTTGGTACCATTCACCTTCCTAGTGCTCTCTCATGCTAACCATGAGCCAGTATTACTCTTGCCATGGGCCTGATTAGAGCTGGTTTGCTCCGTGTTGTTGATCTCGATGGGTCAGTCTTCAATATGGGTTTCCCGTTAACATCCTGGGCCGTCAACAACAAGCAGAAAAGGCACAAAGGCATTTCATCATTCGGTTTCAATCATCTTGCTTAGACTGCATTCTCCTTACTTCGACGAACAACATCTGTCCCTTGCCAAGCATGGATATCGACGTGCAACAATTCAACACTCTCCCTCGGCCACAAACACTAGATTGCGGCGCACCCAACCACTGGGTCATCGGGTCTCGTCGTATCGACGTCCTACCGCCCACCGATGTGGTAATCTTCGTTATGCCGCAAACCGTTTGCGGCATGGTGATTGGGCCTTTGGTCGACTGGCCATCGATGACCCGATCCGAGAAAGCCAAGTGCCTGGCCCCGCGGCTCATCGACGCATTCATCAACGGCAGCAGTTACCCTTCATACTCCTATTCAGATGATGTTGAGCCGTTGGCACCATGGACTTGGACTTGTACTGATTCATAGCTGGCCGCTGCTCTTGGACACAGACTCAGCGAGTTAGGCGTCGATGAGGAACGCTGTCACATCGGTGGCACATGCTCATCTGAGGAGAGTGATGCCATAGACAAGATGTTTTCTTGCATCAAGCCAGCAGTCGCTCAGGTATTTTCTCAAACATCCACGAAACTACATTTCAACCTGCTGACGCTCGGGCTCAAAGCTGGCCATATTACCTGGCGATCGTTCGAGATGTCACGGCTGTGGCTACTCCAAGGAATTCCTTCCGGATCTGAGAAAGTGCACCGGATGCCTCAAAGCCTGGTACCACTCGGAAGAATGCCAGTTCCAGCATTGGGGGACTCACATGCCCGTCTGTCTTGTTCAAGGCCGAAAAGACGACAGCTCTGGAGCACCACCTGCTCATGTCAAAGACTCCAGATTAAATGCACTTCGCTATTATAACACTGTCGCGCGGACGTCACCCGAGGCTCAAGTGCTGATGCTTTCTCTCAACATTGCTATCCCCAATGCGAAGGCTAGCCCGGATAATGGGCTGTTGTAAGCTTTCGATTGAAAACAACCTCTAGGAAATCGGCATCTAACGAGCCACAGAGCGCCTCTTCTACGCTTGACGCTGACAGGCAAAGACACACCTGGGAACATGCAGCTGCTTTTCGGTCCTAACTAGTCAAAGGACTTGGAATCGCTTCTCGAATCATGCCGTCTTGGCGTTCTTTCCAAACCTGCCCTCTGCTCTTACTACAGCATATCGCATGCAGCGTACATCGCGGGTACACCATACCGCTCGCCAAGACCCGCAACTGACGCCGAGGAGGACAAGCTTACAAGAATCCAGCAGATGCAGGAGACCATACGCCACAACATGGAGATCAACTGTGGGACTAGTCATAAAGACATGATGGCTTTGGTGTCGAAGGCACCGGACACCAGGCTTGAGCGGGATTTGTATCAAGTCGCCTTGACGACCATGGCCATGGGGTATGATGCCTCCATGACCCAACTGGCGGCGAGGATGGAGAATGACAAATTTGCCAAGGTCGATCTGCGTTGATCAATAAAGTTGAGGTGCGATGACACTGTCGTCAGCTGCATCTCTACAATGATGGCGATGATTCGTTGCGTTAGAAAAGGAAGACGTCTAGATCCCTTGACAATACATGGTTTCCGAAAAAGTAATCGATAGCTGGCTTGACCGACCACCGTCTACATCAACACCTTTGCAAAAGCATCTCCAAGTCCACGTTCCAACAGCCACCCCTCCACAGCCTTCATGTCGCCCCTGTTAGCCCTCTGTCCTCTCCTCTCGCCTACAGAGTCTGTAATTTCTTGCATGTCCGCAAACACTCTCGTCTTAATGTCCTTTTCACGGTGCCTCTCGGTGACCTTTTTGTGGTGCGCGGGGATATCGCCCCAGCTCTCCGTCTTGATAAACTTCATGTAGTCGTCGATGCTCTGTGATCCACCCTCCAGGCACAAGAGTCCAGGTTTTCCGGCATAAAGGAAGCCTGTAAGGTGGTATCCGGGGGCATTGATGATGAAGTCGTCGCGCTTGGAGCGGGTCGAGATGGAGGGGAAGTAGAACCATACCCGTACCAGGGGACCTGCCTCGCTGCCAGCCGCCGAGACTACCGAGTCGGCTTCTGCTGTTTTTGCTTCTTTGAGATAGGTGACTGCTTCTTCGTTGATTGACTCTATGATGCTGAAGAGGTCCTCGTCACCGTCTGGGATTTGTGAGTTGAGATGTGTGGTGGCTGCGCGGTTGAGCCACGATGGCTGGCGTATTCTGACTTTTATCCTGGGTGCTTCTTCTGGCGGTGGTGCGTTGTTTTCTATTTTGTATGAGAAGGGTACGCTGATGTCCAGTTGCAGGGTTTTGGGGGATGATAATGATGGTGGTGGTGAAGGATCCTCTTCTGGTTCCGGGATGGTCAGGGTGAGTAGTAGCGTCACTGTTGGTGTGCGGCTGAACGGTGTCGTCGATGAGTCCTCTTCGACATGCGCCTTGAGGCGTTGCAGCGCTTCTTCAGAGTCCTTGTCGATGAAGACCTCGTCTTTGGTGGGGTACATTGCTGTGAGGAGATCGATTTGGCCGATTTGGTGTTCGATCAGGTCGGGTGGTAGGAGGTGCCATGATGTTGCCGCGGCTGCCATTGTGACTGTATTTGTCCCTCGCTTATTAACACCTTGAAGCCTTGGTTGTCAATTGTAGTTTTTTCCCCTTTTTCTTTTCTTTTCGTCCTAATGAATGCCTCGTGACGCGCGGTCAGACTGCCATGACTTGGTGGTGAATGCGTCTGAATTGAGAGATTTTCAAACCTCATTTGAGCCACATATCCCAGCCACATGCGCCACACTTTAGTTGTTCTCACGATGCTGGGTGTTTCTATGGGCTATCTGATCGATTGACGGCCCAGTGACCTTCAAGATAGCGGAAAAATACATATACGCTATCGAGATTGCTGGGTTATAGGTACGATCGAGGCAGCACCTGGCTGTCTCCAACTGTCAACCATGGTGGTTACACCAAACAATCATTTGAATAGAACAAGTAGCATCTCACATCAGGGACGGAACCTTTTGTGTCATCTTGGATGGTATGCAAATGGGATGAAAACTCCCGATTGGTGATTCTCTAGAAATTGATATGCGTCTGTTGTTTGGTTGCTCTATCTGTTACCCTTCGCACGAGCCGGAGCGTCGACCCTGCGTTTCTGGAACTGCTTGCCGATCGCGTCCCTGACCATCGGGTCCGCTCTGATGGTGTTCTGAACCAGCCAATCTTTGACCTTGGCACGCACGCTGCTGAGGGCCTCCTTGTCGCCGATAAAGGGCGTCATCTCCATCTCCAACAACCTGCTCGTCTCGCCGTCCAGACCGCGGGCAATCATCTCGAGCCGCTGCAGGCCCTCGTCGACCGCGGCCGCTGAGCTCTCGGCCGCTTTCTGCGCCGCCTGGCCCTGGGGATTCAACAGGGGACCGAGCTGGCCAAAGGCGATGTAGATCGTTACCGCCGCCTGACGCGCGAGCGAGACTAGCTGGAACTGGAGATATGGTGGGCGGCGCAAGGCGGTACTCAGCACCGTGTTGACGATGGCTAGGAAGGGTGGCATCTCGGGCCGCGTGACGACGATGAGCTCCGCGACGAGGAAGGTGAGGAGAATGATCCATCGCCAGTATCGTCCCCAGTCGAGGTACCCCAGCAGACTCAAGCCGTAGGTCGCAGCCGCAGCGAGGCCGTAGTAGGGAATCGTTCCCTGCATGATGCCGCGTGCGACAAAGTCGTGAATCGTCTTGCAGCCCTGCCAGGCGCCGACCTCGGGACCGAAGCGCTCGTAGGCGAAGCGGCGCGCCGGGTCGGAGAGGGTCTCGGAGGCGGTCTTGAGGTGCATGAAGCGCGCGGCGGCGGCGCCCGTGTCGGCGCCGCTGCTGCCCACCTTGTCCGGGTGGTAGACGGCCGCGAGCCGGCGGAAGCGGGATTTGATGATGCGGACGGGGGCGCTGGCGGCGACATCGAGGTCGGTGTAGAAGGTGCCTTGTAGGCGGAGGGTGCGGTCGGCCTCGATCAGGGTGTAGAGGAGGTAGAAGGAGACCACGAGAATGTGAATTCGGCGGCGGTGGGTTGCGTATTTTGCGGTGCCGGGCTGCGGCTTGGGATCGCCTGCGCGGATGGCCAGGCCGTAGTAGATTGCTTGTACCCAGCCGGTGACTAGCTGTGAAGAGGTTAGTCGTTGCGAAATTCAATGTCGTAGAGAGGAAGGATGGGGGGGTTTCTCGTGGCGGGATTACGTACGTTGGGCAAGAATGCCCAGCCTAGGAGGGAGAGAACATTTGACATTATGATGATGTGCGCATCACTCAAGGGCGATTCGGGGTTCTTGCGCGAGGCTGAAAGTGGGAGGGGTATGCGGAAAGTTGTTGCAGGACGCTTGGTCAACGGTTGATGGTTGTGATGTCAATTCGCGATAGAGCTTACTGACTTGCTGGCGTTTTCGGTCATTGCCAACTGCCAAAAGCTGACCTCATTATTTATGGGTCCTGGAGCTGAGGCCTGATCCCTGCCAATCTGGGGAGCGGGCCAGCCAGCATCTTGCTTATGTCATCCGAACTCGCCATCTCATCTAACATCTGCATGAATCTTCAATTTCGCAACTCGGAGGCCGTTATGTGGCCGTTTGGCATGCCTGTGCACTGCAGAGACCCTCGTCTTCCTCTTTTTCTTCTATGAAACAGTCCATTTCATCTTGCAGCTTACTGGCCCATCGAATCCCTGGAGCGTGTCAACGTTGGTCAAAGCGAATGGGGCTCGGGAACTCGGACGTTCTCCCTGTGTGATTGCGATTCTAATAGCCTGTTTTCTTTTCCTTGATGCCGTGCCGAACATCACGGTCTGTAGGATAGATACTGAGAGTTTTATGAAGGAGGAATCAGAAATCACTCTTCTCCAACAATTCTTGATCACCAATTTGAGTGTGAGACTAGATTATTTGAAGCTATGGTGGTCGATCAAGTTCATGTCATGCCCACGATAGAAGTTGATAGCGAAATGCAAGAAAAAGAGACAGCTTTGATCGGTCACAGGACTTGGTCATAGGATTTGGTTATCTCTTGGCGGTTCCCCTTTTACGCCAATCCACGGTGGAAATATCGGCCGAATTCAGTTGCCCGCCTACAAGAAGTGAATGCGCTGAACCTTCTGCCCACCCGGGCCACCCCTCAAACCTATCTGTGCTCTGTGTCAGATTAGCGGAGAGTTTCCTGACTACCTCGTTATGTAATCAGGAATTTGGAAAGGGAGCCCATGTCAGTCAGCGGACGATAGTCTTCTGGAGTCTAACGGAATGATCAAACTTCGGGTAAAAGCTTAGCCTTGGTCTGTGTATCCCATTTCGTGGTTAATGGCATGATTTCCCTCGTCGGAATGTTTGTGGCGTTATTCCAACATCTACAATTGAATCACGATGTTGATTATCTTGAAAAGTAGCTCAAAATTACCTGCAATGCCTAGATCTCAGACGGTGCAGAGTATACGAGCCGATTGCTACTCTACGAATCCCCTACGCGGATGTCAAAACCACAAGTTGCAAGAAGTTGTTCGCACTGGTTTTAACAGGTCCCACAAGCCAAGACCACGAATTGAACACCTTTAGTAGGTTGCATTACTGATAATAAATTGAATACAACCCTGTGAAGACCAACAATCAACACAGGAAGTGGCTTGGTTTTGGAAAGTCTGCCTATGGCAAGCCTTTAGGCGTTCTCCTTGTCAGCAAGGAGGCAGATGGAGTCTTCAGGATTGGGCTGAGGGCTATGATACATCTGGTCTGTCAAAACAGCGCGTTTTTGGCGTCTAGCGCAGGGTCATCGGCGAGACGTGAAAGACGAATAGAGGACCACTTAAAGATAGGTGTGTATATTGACGATCGATAAAGAGAGCCCTTTCTAGTCTGCGCCCCTGACCCCTTTTATACTAGTAGGGGCCCAGTGGACCCCCTTAGTCAGACTGTCATGCCAGGCACCTGACATCTAGGTATGATGGTTCAAAGAAGACGGCATTGGTGTTAAATATCCAGCTGCAATTTTACATGATACTACCTAGAGCTCTCTTGGACAATTAAAATCTCAAATTTGGAAGTTTTGAAACATGTATTCTGCTTTGTGTCACCCGGTCCTGTCTACCAGGCTGGATATCTGAAAGATGACAAGAAGATCTTAACATTGTGGCACGGAGCTTGCTAAGGATAAGGTCTCGAGAATTTTGGATGGAACGCTTGGGAGAAAGCGTGTCACTTGAAAATTCGACGAAGCGGGAGAGGCCTCTGGGTGGTCTGTTACATTTATGTATTCGGTGGTGGGATTCTGAGGGCAGAGTTGTTCCACGGAAACATACTCGGTTGACAACTCGAAATGTGAAGCTAGGAAACCCTTTGCGACCTAACAGCATTTACGAGTCTTTGAATCTTGAGGTTCATCAGACCTTACTATCCCTGAAGCATGAGAAACCAGGAATTCAGTGTTTTTAATACATTTAGCATTAAAAAAAGCCTTTCAAAGACTTTTGTAATAACGCCTGCTAATCTCAGGCTGTGAATATCAAGTCCAAGACGCTTATTTCTCAATCATGTCCCGTCCTGAGTCAATCAATCCTTCAATAGGCTCCCGCTGGCGAAAATCATCCCAATATTTCGGTCGATGCTAATGGTATCATTTCTCTCTTTTGTGCCTGCACGTCCCCCCTTCACTTGGTATCATGGTGAGATCCAAACTTAATGGCAAAGTGATCCAATGCCACCGCCAGAGTCGGCACATACACCGGAGTTCTGAGCCTGTATGCAAGCGTCTTTGAACTCGTTACCGCCAAATCCACTCACGTACTGTGTACGACCGCCACTGTCCGGAGCCAAGGATGCACAGACCTACATCGCACACGTCAGCACCATCTTCAAGGCCCGCCAGGGAGCTTGGGATAAACTTACATGCCACAGCATTGTGGTGTTGACGATTGACGGGTTGTCCTCAAAGATCTGTTTCGATGACTTGTACACCTCACATGCCTTAATAGTGAGACACTTGTGAGAATAATCGTTTACGACACAGTAGCACATCGAGTGTTGGTTTGCAAGCGCTCTGGTTCTGTTAGAAACGGCCCAGCTACCTGAGTTTGGCTTGTCTGTGAGAATGACTTACACTGGGAAGTTGAGGAGAGCCAATGAGAGGCAAAAGAAGAGAAGTTTTGCAAACATTTTGTTGGATTTCAGATTTAACACGGGAGAGGAGTGAGGAAAGTAAGGGCGAGAGCTGTGTGTGCGATGCATTTATGGTTGCGGGAGTGATGTGAGGGTGTCAAGTACAGTAGGGCTGGGATCCTCTGTGGTCTAGAACAAACTTATGTACCTGCATCTGTTTCTGGAATGGGAGCAGGCGTAATTTAGGAAACGCGGGAGAGTTCAATTGCCGTTTGAGTAGCTCGATGCCCGTGCCAGATAAGGATGGTCCCTGACGCGTGAACCAATTCAAGTTAATAAACTAAGGAAATGCCGGGATAATGGCAGCAGCTTGGCCATTGCTCTGGGGGTTTCTCCACTGCGATAGGGAATAATCCGACCTGAATCGTTTGTCCGCGGTATCCGATGATGCCGCCGTTCAATGACGCCAGAAGGCTACTGCAAGTCGACTTTATCTATTACCTCAATTATCATTAATCAATTCATGATGAACGAGACCGCCTCCGGCCGTTGCTATTTCAGCTCCGTTTCCCGAATTCCTCGTTTCGCGGGGTGATGGGCGAGCTGAGAAAGTTAAAGATAGAACGGCCGTTCCGCGAGTCAGTCCCAGCGGATACTTGGGCAGAGGCTTAGTAGCGGCTCAGACAACGGCCGAGCGTTTGATATAGAAAGGTAAAATAAATTACTTAGACAACCAGTATGGGCAGCATTGATCAACGGATCACGGCACCTGAGCGAGACCGCTTATCTCTTGAACCACACTCCGCAAAGAATACTCGCGAAAACAGGCAGGTTCCTGGATCCATTCCCTGGCGACGCGTGACTCCTTGGTCCCCTCTATCAACTCACGCGGCTATATTGAATGACATATATTAACGTCACTTGTATGGGAAACCTTACACGTGTGTGCCTGTGCCTCCTTATCAACCAAGGCGATGAAAAGGGGGACGCAGAGTTGACGCCCGTGCATGCTGAGAAGAAGAAGTCGCGTGACGATATGGGCAGAAAGAAGCAGACTCGAGTGTCGAGCAATGGCAGAAGAAAGTAGATGGATCAACGGTTCGATCAAGAGTGCATACAGGATTGACTTCCACAGAGCAACTCTGGTCATTACGGACAGTGCCAATTATTCCAGTCTATGAGATAGTGGAATGAGAAACATGCAGCACTGAGACATGATCTATCATTAGAAATTTGGGACATTCTGCGAGTATTCTTATACGTGAAAAAAGCAACACGGTCACTTCGACGCCGCTTCTAAAGTTCTCCAATAACGAGTTCAACGACCTATCCTCCAGCTCAACGACTGTCGCTGGCTCCCCAACAATTTTCGCACTCCTTGAAATGGGTTCTGAATGTTGTTAGATTGTTTCCCGATCTTGTAGAGTAATCAGACTTCTTACCTTTAGTCTCTGGGCTATGCCGAGCCAGCTTGGGTGCACGACTCTAGTCTTTGGGACGTGAGGTGATGGCCATCAAAAAGATATGCTCCCCATCCCTCCCACCCAGTAGTGACCTTCTCTTTGGGCAAGGTGTCGCAGCTGTTTGGGTCGATGCCGATGCGAAATTTGAAAGGGGCGGGATAACCGCCAAATGTGACGTTTGTCAACGCTTGGAGGTTGCCATTTGAGTCTTTGGAGTTTTCGACGCTGCATTTCGTGCCGGCGGGGAATGTTCCACTCAAGCCGCATCTAACGACTTGTGCGGGTTCGTCCCATTTGAGCCATAACCAGCTGGTGTCGGACCAGTTATCGCCCCAGCAGCAACTGCCAGCTGCTGCGACAGTGACGTATGTTGAAGTAGCAAAAAGTTGAAGAATGAAAGTGGATCGCATGATGGGCAACAGAGGAGCCAATGTTGAAGCGAATCTTCTGGGAGTTGGTGATAGTTTCGACGGCAGAGGATGGCTTTGTCTACGAGTGCTGGGTGCTGAGATCCTCTTATCAGCCTAATGGCGCTTAGACGGAGGAAGAATGTCGGACGAACGACGGAAAATGTGGGAACGGGAGCTCGGGAAAGCTGATAGTAGGAGATTGAGTCAGGGTATATCTGGGCAGCATATAAGTCGAAAGCCTCTAAATGAGTTGCCAGGTAATTCGCAGCTTTGACCGGATCCGAGGGAAAACGAGGAACGTTGAGTCGTGAATTCTTGTTGGCCAATTTAACTACTTTAACTCACTTGGCTCCTAATCTACTTGGATACGCCGCGTTATCTTTAATCTAACAGAGTTGGACGAAGTCTTATGTGTACCTGATTCATGTCAGGATGATACTTGAAAAGCCACCCTTCATCAAACCTTGTTCCTGGGGACTCAGTCGTGGCTTTAGCGCAGTTTGCGGGGAACCCGAAATCACGCGAGCACGTCCCCGAAGAGGCATCGAGCAGCAGCAGCAAGCCGCTGAAGTGGACGGATTTGCCTTTTATTTACTATGCCCTGGATTCTTGTTGTTTTCCCAAACCCAGCGCCCAGCACTATCGCCTGTCATTCTCTCATTCGTTTGTGTTGCAGCTCGCAACATACAATCATAATGGTTCTCTTGAACCTTGTCGCTCTCTTTTCTCTCGCCGTGAGCGCGTCACCGGTCGCCTCAGTCTCCCGGGATGCGACCGAGGTGCTCTGGAAACGTAATACCACCGTTGCCAGTTGTTCCTTCTATTCCGAAGATGGGTATGACATCCGATATTCGACATATTGGCTAAAACAATGTATTAGATACTAATTCGGTTAAAATAGCATTCAGCCCGGATGTTGGGAGACTCTTGAAATGAACAAACACCTCAACGTAAGCTAAAAGATATGCTCGCATCTATGCCATCTCATGCTTACAAAACAACCAGGACTGGTGGTCCAAGAACTCTGCCAGATGTAAGGCGGCAAACAAGGGATTCGGTGCATGTTATCTCGACACGGCTGTATGGCACACTAAACCATGATACTTGAACCAAGTTGCGCCCGGCTAACCTGAAAATAGGGTTACATAACCTGGAGTTGTGACTTCATTGCCCTCAATGGATGCACTCCGCCTCCGAGTGGCCGCACCGCCGCCTATGCTTCCTACCAGGAATTCTATGTAGGTTCTGCCTTTAGCCAGAGCAACTCCAATTTTACTAACGATACCTTGATAGGTCTTTTGGAATATTTACTGTGAGACTTTGTGCCCTTGACTGCTTGGAACACCTCACTGACGCCACTGCGACATAAGCGATTAACCTTTTCTTTACCAACTACCACCAAGCTCTGATAGGTGGCCAAGCTACTGCTATGTAAGTTGATGTTGATGAATTTATTTCGCCGGCTTGCTAATTCTCCATCAACAGTGGAGCGGTCGCCGAAATCGTGAAGACGGTTTCGCCACCTAGAGCCAGGAACCCCAATACGCCCAAGTTCGGACCGATCTATGCTGTGGCACTGGGACAGTTTGCTGTGAGTCTAAATCAAATTAACTATAAAGAAAAAAAGATGGTTCTGACAAAGTCCGGGGTAAAAGGCTCTCGGCCCTCTGCTTGGCAGCTCTGTCGGTGCTAGCATGGTATTTACCTCTATTGCCGGAACCTTGGGTGGTGGAACTGGTCTTTTCAACATTCTCTTCCCATCCAAGGAGGTACAGGAAGTTCCGTGGGAGGGTCTTTCAGCTGCTCTCTCAGAAAACGTCAACGAATACCAAAAGAACGTAGGCGAGGCATTGACCAAGATTCAAACCGATTTCGATACATTCTATTCAATGGTTTCCAACGGCGGTTTCAGTCAGGTGAGAAGATGAATTTCATAGCAGAATCTTCGCCTGGGCCGCTAAGACTGACCATTTCACGATAGAAAATGAGCACCAGTCTGCCTCAGAGCACCGATTTCATGTATCACGATCTCCTCAAGTGGACTTTCAATCAGGCGCTGCAGCAAGCAGACTACTTTGCTGTCAAGAAGTGTGTTCAAGCTTATTCTCGAAATATCAACAATTGCTAACCATTCTATAGCCCTGGGATTGATCCTCGGAAGATTCCCATTGACCCGTATGACTGCTCCAAACTCGATAAATCCAACTGTTGCGGCCCGATCTGGTACGATGGCAAGGACTCCTATGGCCTTGCGAGAGCAAATGGTATGTACCATTTTCCAAGCGATGTAACTGATGCACCTCGAACCGAGACTAAGATCAAACAAAGACATTGGCATGGACCAAATGAAGACGATCCTGGATGCAGCATTCGCCAAGAACTGGACTACCCCTCATGAGCTCTATATTGACGCTCAATCATGCCAAGGCAAGAACGGCTCAGAGGCATTTGATGTGAAGGATCTGACACTGAGTTGCGTCGTAAGTCCCCATTCTTAATTCTCGCTCCTCCCAAATCTTTTCACTGACCGCAACATGCAATTAGTCGAACCTCCCCGTCTGCGAGTTCAACTTCGACTATAATCCGTTCCAGTTGATGATTGACCGCTCCAACCCACCGGAGTTCAAAAACTGCCCTAATCAGGATGGCTACGGCACGCCTCCCTACTGGAGTACCGATGCTGGAGTTCCTCTCACGTATCTTGGCCCCTATTTGGTACGTGCTTCGTGCAGAAATTGTTAAAAACCAAACCTATCTATGAGCCATGACACTGACGAACGGACCGACAGATGGGCGGTGTGCACTATGGTGTGAAGAACGGTTGAAGTAAATTAGTTTGTGTGGGTTTCCCTAGGAAGTCATCATTTCAAAGGGTTTCCCCGGAAAACCTGTGTGCATTGAGAAAACTGTGAAATGCTGGGAACGGCCGAGAAGAGTCAATAAATTTAATTGTTAAATTACCCCATCACATTCTTTAGTGTTGTGGTGAAAGTGACGAGGGTCTCGCGTAGTGCAAGAGATATTCAGGAAGGGTCTAGGACCACATTCCCACTCATTTGTTTAGCGACTTAGAGAAAGTCGCTCGTCAGCTGCTGTGCTCCAGTCACGAGTAGCGTAATTGATCAAAAATCACTTCCATGCTGACAGTCACTATTCAACTCATAGACAGAAGAACGGAATGCGGCTTGATAGAGCTGATCAACAATCAAGGTACGCATGGAAAAATATCACGACTGTACTCACTTCATTTTTGTTTGCTTTTCTCGGGCTGGCGTGTTGCGCACTATTCACATAAGTAGCCTTCAGGACTATATACATTAGAAACGTCAAGATAACTTCCTTGTTCCTAGGCACTTACTTAGGCACAGAGGCTTCATCTGACAAATAGCATAATCACACGGCAACAATCCATACACCCTGGGAAGGGCTGTCCCGTTGATACAGGCAAAGTGGCAGCCAGCACACCTAACAACTGGGCTATTCGCCTAAACTAATGTTGATTCAAAAAACGTACCTGATTACAAGTCCCCGAGTTGTCACTTGACTGCATTCAAGTATTCGGGCCTGGGAGGTGGGCCTCGCCCGCAAGAAACCCGTTATGTTCTCGAAACAATTCAAAACGTTGGCGTACTTTGGCAATCGTTCTCCGCAACAAAGTGAGACCGAGCCCTAATCAGAGGCCGTTCAGCATTCTTCTAGGACTTCGGGGTCGATTTGATCAAGCTCGACGTTTTCACTGTCATTTCAATTTGTGGCCAGAAGATCAACTCAAGGCGCACTCACAGCGCAATAATAAGGCATGATTTAGTCATTTGCATGCCTCTTATCTTACTAAAGAGACCTACATACCGAAATATGAAAATTAGGGAGAAAGCTAAAGCCAAAAGAAAATAGAAGGTGAAGTTGTTGAAATATGGGCTATAAGATGGCTGTTGTAATTATCGGCCGCCTGCTCAGATGACGTCTCCGAGTTGAAGATCCGCCGACTGAAACCAGCAATTCTGCATGATTAGTTCACACTAGGTCGGCTGCTAATTACAGACTACCTTCTTTGATCAGATTCCGGGAAAGAAATGTAACAAGACTCGAGACAAAGGCTTTCTTATTTGGACATATCTAGGTGGTGGACCACAACATAGACCTAGCTAGCCGGATCGAACCAAAGACCCAGCTAAAGCAAACAATATTTGCCGTGCGAAACGCCACCTGTCCGTTGGCATAAGTGCCAGCAACATTTGCTTCAGCACCTCTGACAACGTCTCCATCGTCTACAGAGTCAGAAGATGACCTTTTCTGATTCTCGGGCTTGCTGTCCTTGCTGACACGCCCGATCAGTTTCAAAATGCAACCGGTTTCTTCATCCTTCAAAAAGAACTGAAAAACCCCCGTTGGACCATATTTTAGCTAAAATCGTGTGCCGTAGTAGTCTAACCTTTGGCCCTTCCCTCGGCAAAGACGGCGTCAATATCTTCGACTTTCAATGTAACATGGTGAACGTAAACTGTAAGCTCCATCATGACGCACCATCAGCTTGTAGAAGACCGAATTAGGGTTCAATCCTTCAACAAAGATAACAATACCCTTAGTGTCAAAAAGAATGCCCAAGGCTTGCATCAATCCATTATCTCCACCGTCGGCAGCAGAGCCCGTGTTGACAGTTAAAGTCCGAAGTGAACTGAAACCCACAATGCGCCCATGAAAAAGCTTCATAAGTTTGGTATCGGACATGATGGCAGCGCAATGATGGAGCTGGCGGGTTGAGCCAGCTATAGAGTCCAGACCGTTGGGGGAAGTTGAGAGGTCGTCATTCGATGGCTCTTGAGCCGGTGCCTGGCGCCGATGTATACTTCAGCGAAGGGCTTATCAGTTAATGTAGGAAGAGCCTTCGGTTGAAGAATAAAGCGCTAATCACTGGGGATGAAGACTTCATCTGGGGAAGCGGCGAGGGAGTCGACAAGATGCTCGGCGTCGGTTGAGCCGGCCCTACGTTTGGTATCCAGAGCTGACTCTGGCTCATCTTGGGCGAGACCAGCCTCTACACTCCGAAGATCAAGACACGGGATAGGAGTTTCCGTGGCAGAGCCATGATGACGGGCTTCGATTGCGGCGCAGTCAATGCCATCCTTGTTGATGAAAAGCCATACTGGCTGGAGACGGCTACCGCCGGGCCGATGCCTAGCTGGGCAGTTGCTTTCGCAAAGATGGAAGCGACGCAGCCGAAATCCTGGAGAACCAAACGAGTCCACTCCATAAGTTCTGGCTTCGTGTGAATGGTGAGTCCGTTAAGGACGGCAGCCATTACGTAACGAACACAGAATTCGCTAAGGCCTCATCCGCTATCATCAATTCTTTCTTCAAGGAGATTAAGAATTTCTTGGGGGTCTGTACCGGAGTACCGGAGCAGCTCAGATAACGACTAAGTGCGTCGAGTGTGAGCAGTAGGTGTTGGTTTACGTAATCACAGGGTGATTTGTTCGATCGAACCGTGGTGACGAAGGGTCAATTACTCTTGTATTGATCTCTGCGTGAAGTGGAAAAGAGAGGTTCCAACCGTAGGTTGGATCGCCGGTCGAACGCTGATATAGAGACCCTCAGATGGCCCCTGCGCTGGCGCTGACTCGAGGTCGAATTGGGCTTCCAATCCGACAGTAGGTCCTAACGTGTTTGTCAATGATATCTTGGTCTGTGTTGAGGACCCCTCTGGTCCCCCAAAACTCTGAGATAACGGTGGCATTATCACAAATGATGCGCTCCAAGAAAGAAGGAGCGCGCGAGTCTTCGGGAGGAAACCTGGGCTCGCCTTTGAAACAGGCGACCTGAGATCGGGAAGACACAGCGAGTTTGGCGCTCCCCGAGCGGGCAAAATCGTGGACCTCGTTGGGAGTTGCGTCGTCATGAAGGAACAGTCAACCACCCGAATAAGTGGATACAGGAGAATCAGTGACTATCTAGCCCTCATCCGGGGATGATTTATATTTCCAATGCCAATCACGACAGCCATGGATAACCTGGTGAGCTGGCATTAAAGGAGCAATTCCATCGACCGAAGTGCCGAGTTTAGCTGGGGCTGCGAGATGTGACATGTTGGAGCAAAGTTGATGTTGAATGATGTTTTGAGATTTGTGTGAATCCTTCTTGTTATTGCCATGATGCCAGACTCAAGGCTAAATGATGCAGCCAAGGTGCAACCATGTATGGAGAAAACTTTGTTTCATCGCGACTTATATAATGCCCCGGTTTGCGACAAAAAGCAACCCGTTTCTGGGAACAGTATAATTTCGAGGCTGCAATATGGTCATCCGGAGACTTCTTCCCTCAAAGCGATTGCATCTGCAAAGACGAAAATGAGTTGAGGATGATCTTGGCGGGACAGGCTGTGATAGCATCCATCGGGTAGACATCTTAGTCGGGGGTGCTAACACAATGGGCCCTGTGTAGTCTAGAGTTATCACATGTTGATTTCGACATGGTGAAGAGCTCAATGCAGCCTGAAATATCGGAAGATGCATTCTAGCTTCGGCGTATGGAGAGTAAATTTCAATCTTGGGCCGTCGGAGGCCTCATGTTCCGCCTTCTTTATCGAAATATATCATATTTGTAGACGGAAGTAGATGGAAGCTCAAGTTTATCATCTAGAGAGCCCGTAAAGAAAGACCATGCCGCAGATGTCGGGCAGCATCAGCTTCATGGGTTCTGTGGCTTTCAATTCTCTCGCACGCATTCTCGGATTCACTCCACTTGCCTCGAACCAGGGTATTCAGGGAAACATTGTAACCGTGCAGCTGACGATTCTTCCCAGAAAAAGAATCTTGGTGTAGTTTATCAGAGGATAATTATCAGGCTGTTGTTATAGCATTCCCCCAGCTTCGGCATGGGTATAAAGCAGCGCCTTGTTTCTCTCGTCTCGTATGGCCACTCTCTTGACGTCGTCCTTGACGGGACATGACTTCGGGCCGCGAAAGAAGTGTGTGAGAGCTTTCTGCAGAGACTGCACAAGGCTTTTCCAAGCGTCAAACGATTCTGCATCTGCGATACGGTGCAAATCCCGACGAGTAAGCTTCAGTCCCGTTATGCGGTGCACGAGGATGACGTGCCCATCTTTACTCTAGGTTTCAAGGTCCGCCACGTGCTTACAAATATCAAATTACCTACTACGGAGACCTGGAAGGGCGTTTGTTGTGGACGGTGGCTGGGGCTGTAGCAAGCAGCACCATATGATGCCGCCGTCTCTCACTGTTCTTTCTGAGCCAGTTCCTCAAGGGACCGAAATTACGTAGAAATAGTGTACGACTTGATGAAGTGGTTCACACAAGAGTGACCTCGGACACAACTCATCGTAATCAAGAGTAAAAGCCTACGTGCAACACTGTATTATGGAGAAATTTCTATGATCAGAATTCTTGAGATCCAAGTTGTGCGAGCATATAAATCACAACTCACAAGTTGCATGCTTTATGCAGACAGAAATCTTCCGTTGGCATGACACACATAAGGTAGTTTACTTAGCCTCGGGCCGCTCCGCCTTTTCAGGCTGGCCCCGCGCTCGCCCTGTCTTCACCCCGCGACTACCAATATCTTTGGTCATGAACCTGGAGCAGCTTGGCAAGATAAAAGTTGCATGCTGCTACCCATGGGGGATTACTTGACACATCTCCCATAACCTTTAATTCTGCATACGTCGTGGCAAGTGGCAATGACCTAAGAAGATGCATACCTGTACTGCCACGCAAATTTATCAACATGTTCGATGTCAGGTGCCTGATTAGGGATCCTCTAGTGGGCCCCTACTAGTCATATAACGAAGTTAAAACTCCCCTATTAGAGCCATTTCTAAAGGCCCGGCCAGATTCAAACGATGCCAACTACCCGTACCTTGCCTCGAGATGCCTTCGTTGAGTGACCCTCTGCTGACTTCCTCATTTGTGTGCCACACGCTCTACATCCGACCCATCTGACGGAGGAGTAATAACAACCCTAATAATGTTGCTGAATTTCGGCCCTGAGAGAGTCTTGCTGCAACATTGCTTCCGTTCAGGCACCAACGTAATATGTAGTTGATCATGGGGAACTGGGAGTTTTGAATTTTCTCCCTGTCGAGCATGATCCCGAAGCCGCCAAGATTTAGTTTTGTAACCGATAATAAAGATTCTTCTCTGCGTCCAAAGTGATAGTCACCTCCGCATCACGGGTGGATGAATTTCGGAGTTCAAGGCAGGGTATTCGGCGTTATAAAGCATCGACGTCGGCAACGGAGATGCGGTGTTGTTGAGATGGTCGGTGCCATCTCCGCTGGCCGGCCCGGTGGTGCCGGATTCCGTGCTCGGGTAGGCCCAGCATCCCCACAAATGGTCAATGTAGCCGGAAATTTTAGGGTTAGAGTTCTGGCAGCACTAGGTAGAGAGATAAGCGTAGGAACTAGCATTGGCGTCGGTACCGACCCGCCCACCGATTTATATGCTGTACAGGTATCCGTACACCTTGGTGCCATCACCTGCGGACCGTGGTCAGCAGAGCTACAAAGTTGTGATGTGTGGCCGGTTCATCCGGAACCGTTGTGTGTGTGTGTGTGACTGATGACCCAACACACTGGGACCAGTGACATCAAGTCTTGCTTTTGTGAAATGGCTAGAGCTCTGGTAAACGAACCCCAGCACCATTAGCATTCTCTCGTGATACATGAAAGACCAAACCTGGCCTCGTTTGACTCGTTTGACAATGAGGTTTATGCCAAAGCCTATTCTTCTCCAGCCCACATCCCAAACATCTAAACGAAACCAAAATGCGTATCCAGCTCTTGCGCCAGAGTGATGGAACGATTCAAAACCCACTGCATATCCTTATTCAGGGGCTTGACGTTGTTCCCGACCATGCAGCTCATCTGAGTACGGTCCCCGCCCTTCTCCCACGTCCCATCGACGACGGTATGCGTCGGAAGCCCAAACTCGTTCGGGTCGACCTTTTTGTTCTTCAAAAGGCCTCCATTGTACCAAATGAGATTGTCCCGCTCGTCGACGTGTCCAATCACGAAGCTGCAGATCCTCTCGACTGCGTCGTTGACCTTGTCCTTGAACCAACCAACCATGGAGCCATAGTGCTTTTCAAACGCATAGCTCGCCCCGGTGAGCTCGAGACCAAACCACCAAGTCTCCTTGTCGCCATATGTAATCTTGTAGCTGACCTCCTCGCGCACGTCGTACGTATTTTGCCACGCCACGTGGAGGAGACCCATGAGCACGTCTAGGCGCGACTTGTCCATGATAACCACGCCCGAATCGCCCTCTTCGGCATAGTCCTCGGTCCAAACGAGTGACTTGTTGAGGGTAGCGCTAGGCTCGTGAATCTGCGACCTCCACCATTGGTGACGCTCGGCAAAGGCGTGTTGCCAAAGCAAACGGTCGTGAAAGAGGAGGGCACCAGTCTGCTCATACAAGGGATCCAAGAAGAGCGACTCTGGAACTTGAACAAAGACGGAGTCAGCATCTGAGAGGATGACCTCTTCAAATGGCGCGTATAAAGCCGCAAAGGCTTTGATAGCCCAACCGCCCTTGGCAAGCTGCAGGGTCGTATCGTCAACGACGCTGAGGACGTCCAAGAATTGAACTTCCTTGAATCGGGACTGCAGCTTCTCGCGGTCTTCAGGTGGCAAGTCCTCGTCCCCGGCATAGACGATTTGGATCGTCATGTTGCAGTACAGGATGTCCTGGAGAGCGCCAATGAGGTGCGTCGCATATCGCATGGTTCCCTTGCCTGTCGGAATGACAAGGCCACGTGACCCGGGGACAAGGGAGGAACGCAAATCTGAAAAAGGTGTCTTGCTATCAGGATGCTTCGGGGAGTGCTGGATGAAAGGGAAGAAGGATGCGATGGCGCCCTCTACGGCCTCGAGAAGAAGCTCGGTGTTCTCTGTCTTTGGTGCGTTGTCTAGGAATTTGACCCATTCCCGGGCCGTCTTGGTACGCTGACCCAGCTCGTAGAATTTGAATTTGTACGGAGGCTGGATGGGATCGCCAATTAAGAATTTGGCTTGACTGATGATGGACTCGGCTTCTTTCTGCCATGCCGTCGGGCCGTCGTGTACTTTGGGCTTCTCGGTATGTTGCGGTGGATGCGTCGGCGATTGCGCCAATGGAGGCTTGTTTGGCGACGTCGGATGATAGGAGGGAGCAAAGATGTAGGTGGAATACAAGAACATAAATAAAAGACAGGCGAAAAGAATAGCTGTTGCCACCCGCGAGGATGGCATAGCTATGACGACCATGCCAGCCGACAAGTCGCAAGGCGCGACTGAGACGTGAAAAAGAAGGATTCTTTTGGCGGCGTAGTTGTCGCGTGAGAATGAATGAAGCAATTCCAGAAGTTGGAGGAAAGGTGAGGGTGAGGTGTGTGGGTGAGGGTGCCCGTCATACTTAGCTTATCCTACCAAGTTGGCGCCAAAGGTGGATTACGTACGCAAGCCGCCGCTGTCGTGCCGGTGGTGTGCAACGAACAAGGCGCGTACACATGGCAGGTACGTACATCCTAGATTGGTAACTTGGTCCAGCAAGTTGGATCGACAGCTACCAGCAAAGCATGTCTCAAAGACACCAGGCTGGGCCTTGACGGCTGTTCCTTTTTACACATAAATGCTCACCAACAAAACCTTCCAGCCGTTCCACTGCAATGTACACAGATGCGACGGGGCGGCACAGCACTTGGCAGTCACACGTAAACGAGACTTTCAGCGGAGGCGAGAATCCTTCCCTCCTTCCCTGCCACTCCTGCAGCATTATGTTACCGGGTGCTTCCAAATCTGGAAGCCATGGAGTCCATCGAGTTGTGGCTGGTTGGAATCCACCCACAGCCTGATTCTGCAACCTACCTCTTATTTCCTGACACTCCCACTCATTCTTTTCATCTTATTCCAGTGTCTGTCTTCTGTCCAGTTCCCATCCCCTCTTTTCAGCGCTCCTCGCTCGCCCTTGTCCCCGGATCCCAAGCCTTCACCTTGTCACCACGATGTCGAGACCGGCTGGGATCATCTTGAGCCTTTTCTGCCTGCTGGCGCTTTTTGCCTCGCTTTCCAACGGCATCGATTGTTACAACTATAGGGGACAAAAAGCGACCGATCAGCAACAATGCAGCGGATCCGATGCGTGTTGCGGATCAAGTGACACATGCCTACCGAACCGACTCTGTTCTAGTGCTAAAAACGCCCCAAACATATTGATTCGCGGACCTTGTCTGAAGAACCCTTGGTCCAGCAATTGCGCAGAGATCTGTGTTTTTGGTAAGTAGGCTGTTCCTGCGTGGTCTATGCTGTAATTAGCAAATTACATCTACTCATGATGGTTTTTATCAACAGAGGAAACGGCCTCAAACACGGGCTTGCAGAATGGCGTTTATCCAAGGGTAGAAATTTGCGATGAGAGCATAGGCAAATATTGCTGCCGAGATGGCGAAACCGGGTGTTGCGACAACGCCTCGCGCATTACCTACCTCGATGACAATGGCAACCGGGTCTCCGCCCCTCCGACCTCGACCACTTCGAGCAGTACAGCGACGGCGACAACTACATCAGCAACCAGCGCAGAGACGACGTCCAATAGCCCAACCTCAACCACCAGCCCTGCCAACGGCTCAAACTCCAGCGACGGCGAATCTCTCGCACTCAAAGTCGGACTCGGAGTCGGCATCCCGCTCGCTGCCATCGTAGCAGCCGTGGCAACCTGGATTTTCCTCCGTGCAAAGAGACGCAATAAGCGCGAGGTTCCGGGATCGGTCGCCCCCGTCACAAATTTCTATCACGATGCGCAAGAGGATTATGCCGCCAAGAACAGCACGTATCAATACGGGCAAGATGCAGATTTCCGGAACCGGGGTCAGGACAGGAGGTACGAGATGCACGAGATGGCATCGGCTGATGATAGCCCACAAGAACTCATGGGATCGGAGGTGCGGGAGATGCGATAATAGCAAAGACGATACGGCACGCGGTGTGACGAAAATAGCACCCCTTAGGAAATCGCGTACTGTCCTTAACTCCCAAGGTATTATACCCAAATGATTCTTTTTTTTCTTTAGGAAAAAAGACGACTATGTAATTAATAAGTTTGGAATTCTATATCGGACTTTTTTGATCATTAAAATTGCTAGTGGTTCGTTATGGTACTTTATCATTCTTAAAGCGGAAATCTAAAAGGGGCGAAGTATTTTTTCACACCGCGTGGGTCACGGTAAGCGCGTCTGCAGTCAGCTTACGGATACCAGGGGTGGCATTCTGATTGTACTAGCGCGGGACTCGGGCGAAATTCGGAGGCGCAATGTTGTGGAGTTGGCCTATCACAATAAGTGATGATGTCTCAAAAAGAAGAAGGGAGATTAATGTATCACAAGGTCAAGTATGTCTGGTGGCGGAGGGAGTGTATCGGCCAGGAAGCCTGGGAATCAGGCAGATACTGATTGACCTGCCATCTCAGTAAATGTACGTGCCTTACAATGTATGAGCATACTACGGACTATAGATGACCTTTTCTTTCAAGACACTCACACCATTCGGTGCCTAACGTCTATGATCTAGGCAACCCGTAGATGGATAAGGTAGGAAAGGGAGGGGCAGAAAGAGTGGATCCAACAGGGATAGTTGGCTGTTCTCTCACCGCAGTACGGATACTTATTGACTTAATTCGCCCACGACTTCTCCAGCCACCCGAGTTGCATTTGAGACAGGGGGATCGGTCCTGCCATCGAGCGTTCCACTAATCCACAGTGAAGACGCCGAGACTGCAAAAATTTTGGCCGAATCAGAAAGTCAGGAAGAAGCATGGAGGCCTCAGGAGTCTGGAGACAAAAAGGTAGACAACAGAAGTGCGACGACCCCCCCACTTTCTGTAGAGTCACTTACTACTTTACCAGTGTATCCGTACCAAAGTAGGTAGAAGAACAGACAGTATGCGTCATCTTAGCAAGAACATGCTACTGATAACTTTATTCAAACCCCAATGGATGCTGTATCACTACATGCTTCCTTCAACAATGAGGGACGGGGAGGAAACGGGATGGCGGGGTGGCGGCTTAGATGCAGGTACAAAGGCGATTGTGCTAAAAGCAGGCAGACGTAGCCTGCCCTGTGAAAGGAGCTGCCGACTGGCCCCTTGGTTCCTTATTACATCATATTTCTCGACTTCTTCCCTTTCATGATCGTGAGACTTGTTCAAAGCAAAAGTGATGCTATGTAGATAAGAGTTTTGTGAGCTTTGTGTTGCTTTCTCGTAAGTGTCGCATTTAGTCGGCAGCGGGTAAGATGCTTGCAGGCCATTATTCCCTTCCTACCTACCCAGGGGGCAAGTATCTTCCCCTGTACTGTAAATGCCATCGTAAGAACCCAAGACTGGGAATATCGACATGGTCTTGATTAGAATGGCTGATACAGCCTGCTACCTGGATATCAGCTACTATATTGTAGTTTCAAAAGTGTGGCTTGCTCTGATGAAGCTTGAGTGGGCGCCAAGCCTTAGACTGGCAACTTTCTATTGACTCGACATTAGATATCACAATAGCTTCGTGTTTCTAAGACGTTGTTTTGGTACCAGACTTCATCGATTACAAACTAATCAACCTAGCTCGAATACCAAGTGTGAGCAACGGTCCTGTTTCTTCTCCTTATCTTTTGAGAATCCAGCATATCTTTCTACGTACTATTCGCTCAATTGCTCCTATATGGCCTGACTCGCGAAAATAGATTACGTCTCACGTTCGGTTCTTCGGATGTGCGTCACAAATAACGTCACAGTAACAAGCATGGATTCATAGCACGAGAGTGTAGAAATCATTTGTCGGATGTCATCACTCGGCACTCACGTCTGAACACTTTCGTACCTATTACTTGATAAGTTGATAAGTCTGCCGCTCTCTGGCTATGCGGTAAAGTTGCCCTGATGCTCAATTTTAGAGGCAACTTTACGCTCAACTTTAGACTTCATGAAGGATCTCGAGGCTACTATCGCATTATTGAACCTTGACCACATACCAATCTCGATCAGTCTTCGAACTACAAAAGGTGTCAGAATTGATGTCCGCAGTACCGTGTAGTGATATTTGAGTACCTTGCAAGAGACGAAGCACGAGCGAATTATTATCATCTATCCACAATACAAGAAGTGACTCTGCGGGGCTCGTGTCATGTCACTGTTTGCACTCATTATCCTTTCCTGGAGGTCTCCCCGACGACAGTCGAATCTCGATTGCTTAGACGCTAGTCTTGAACTAGAATGAAGAGAAATTGAAGTACTGCCGCAGTGTTCAGCATGAGATCACCGCGAAAAGAGCTCTAGCATCGAAGATCGACTCGTTCCATAGCAGTGACATGTTATCCGTGACACATGGTGGCGACAGTTTCATTACAAGCCATTGGAAACGTCTTTCCTCATTCGTGTATCCATTCCTATCAACCAATGTCATCTAAGGAAACGACGCGCGGAATAGCCGCTCCATCTCGCGACAGCCTCCCTTTGAGGTGAGGCTTACTCGTCTTAACTTGTCGAGATCACAGACTCCTGGTCTCATATTGAGCCAGACGCGCAATCGAGCGTATCAAACATCTGGATTCCTTCCTCCTCACGGCTGGAGAAGGATATTACCGGTTATGACGAACCAGTGGGACGTAATTCTAAGCTCAATCCAGTCACAATCGCGCCAAGGTGAAGGCGAGCGGAGGGTGGAGCACTGGAGGTTGTCATCTTTAAAGTATGGCAGGGCCTCGACGAACCTACCAGTGATGCTGTGACTTGATTGATCCATCTCAATACGGAAACGACGTCGGCACACGAAAAGCATCGTGCCGATGCATAAAAGTTTCGGACATCCGGCTAACAGCGTTGCCGTTGCGCGCGTAGAAAGTACGCTCAGACCAATCTCCGATTTGAGTATGTGAAGAACCGAGGCATTTACCGCAGTATAAAACACATCAGACGAAATGCAGAAACTCTGCCGACGATTCTAGAACCTGTAACAGGTCTTCAGCAGATAAAAAGACAAACACGTGTGGTGGAGATTTTCTCTTTGTTCAACCACACTACAAAATTGACAGAAGCCTCTTGCTACGTACTGGAAGACTGGCCTTGATTGAGATATCGTCAAATGAATGTAGTTCGATATACCACATGTTCTCATTGCATCCACTACGTGCACGACGGAAGGCTTCACAATTGGATTGGGTGGATTATAATTAGAATTATCGCTCCGACAGAGATTGTCGCGGGAAGAGCGGAGGTTTGCCCCGATGAGCGTTCCGTGAGGCTGGACCTTCAGATATCGAAGTCCCAACTCTTCAGCAAGGCCGGAACATAATCTCCATAATCCGTGAAGTCACTACCATTTACGTTGTTTTCTTCAATCAGTTGAAATGCGGACTATTCGAAACAGGCTTGCCTTCCGGTGGGAGAATTTTTGAGGCTCATGTCATATCTTCAGATGATCGGTGTGCAAGCCACCCGTCATCGCCTATTCCGGACAAAATACCGAGATCGCCGTCTGTCATGAGCAGAAATATGATGTCACGGAAAACCAATTGACAAAACATAACGGAAATAAAGCTTCAACAGTCAAACGGCCGTCATCTGAAGGCGGTCTCTGTCTCCGTCATCTCTATTGCAACCGAGGGATCTTTCAGTATGGCACACCATCCCTGGTTTCCTGCACCCCGATTGGAGAACCTTGATCACCCACTCGAGTATACTTTGCGTTCCGTGGATGTCGTGCCTGGACAGGACCCTCGCCAGGTTCAGCCGGCCGACCGATTTACCGGATGTGACAGTTCGTCATCACCATAAGCGACGTCAGTATCCCGCCGTTGGGAAACGCTCGGGTATGAATGCTTTTATTCGTCCCAAGAAGTCTACGAGATGGCCTTGTCTAACCCAGGCCATGAAAGAAGTGATGAGGATTCAACCTTGGCAGAAGCCTATCGATACAACCGGGGTAATCCATTCTCTGTTTCGATCACTGCGAACACCAGAAAACACCATTTCGAGGAAAGGATTTATACCTTCGACTCGCCCGCTTCTTCAACCTAAATGATAGTCTGCAACAAACCAACAACCATTTTATCACACTCAAAGAAAACATGAAGACTAGTCCAGCCGCCGCAGTCTCCCTCATTCTGGGGTTGACCCAAGTCCTCGCCAGGCCTGTAACTGACCCGAATATTGATATTCGTGACGCTGCCACCAACGCCCAGCCCGCAGCGGGCGAGTCACGACCATCGGAGCTCGACCGCCAATCTTTGAACATTTTCCTTGGCGGCGAAGACGTGGATTCCATCAAGAACAACAATCCCGATCCTAAGTCCAAGATTTACCCCAAGAAATCGGACCGTGATGCGCCGTACGCCAGATCCGAGAGGGATTTGAAGGCTAGCATCTATATTCCAAAGACTTTTTCAGCTTCATCAAAGAAGCAGCCCGTTATTTTGGTTCCGGGCACTGCCGCCATGGCCGGTACGACATTTCGCGCGAATCTCGCTCCTCTGCTGGCAAAATCCGACTTTGCCGACCCCCTCTGGGTCAACATCCCAGAAGCCTCGCTGGACGATGCGCAAGAGAACTCGGAATACGTCGCCTACGCCATCAACTACGTTCAAGACATGACTGGCAAGAAGCCGGCCGTCGTTGCCTGGAGCCAAGGCAACCTCAACGCGCAGTGGGCGCTAAAGTACTGGCCCAGCACGAGAGAGGCCGTGACCGATCTTGTGTCAATGAGCCCCGACTTTCATGGAACCAAAGAGGCATTCGCGGCTTGCAAGACTCCCGCCGCTGCCCTTAGCTGCACTCCTAGCGTCTATCAGCAAATGTATGAATCCCAGTTTGTAAAGACTCTTCGTGCAAACGGAGGCGACAGCGCCTATGGTACGTTTATTACTCCCCCAGGCTCTCAACCTGTTCAAGTTCACGCCTCTAACTCGATGCATCCAGTCCCCACCACATCCCTCTTCAGCGCAACGGACGAGGTTGTTCAGCCGCAATCGGGCCCAGTCGCCTCAGCCATTCTGAAGGATGGCAACAGCGCCAAAGTCAGCAACATTGAGGTCCAGAAAGCATGTCCCGCGACGCCGGCCGGCGGGGAAGTCACCCACGAAGGCATGCTCTACAACTCACTGGCATTCGCTCTCCTGAAAGACGCTCTCACGAATGACGGACCTGGGAAGCTGGAGCGCATCGACAAAAAGGTCTGCCTCGATCCTGCGGCCGGCAAGCTTGACAAACTTGAGATCTCGGCCACGGAGGCTGTCTTGGCTGATGCCGGGGCGAATGTGCTTGCTTATCCCAACAAGGTTAAGCGTGAGCCCGCCATTAAGGACTACGCCAAGAACTAAGCAGAAAACACGTGTTTCATTGTTAGCAGACTGGCGTGTACTATTCTTGTAACATAATATGTTCAGTACTTTGTCAAGAAAAACCATACACGGAGCGAGCGAGCGAGCGAGCAAATCAGCGTCTGTACAATTAGTTGGCTTCACCGTTTGGATTATTATCTAGAAAACAAAATTCTGTATTCACTGCTTTAAATCTGATCCTGATCCACTGTGTTAACCTGCTCGAATGATATGCATACGACCATGGATGAGCTGGTACTTTGTGGAATGTGTGCCGCGGGACCGGGATCAAAATGTTGGGTTTTTAACAATCAAAGATCATGGTGAAGTTTGATCAGTTCTCAAGTGAACTGGCGCTATTTCCTTATTATTAATGGACTCAGAGAATATGACGGAACGTAAGAAGTATCTGAGAAACCCGTCTGCTGGGCCCAGGCCAACCCTTCGCGGCCCACTCATCTCCTAGATGTTGGCAGATGACATTCAATGCCTGCGCCCCTGAATCATCAATCTCCCAAACCTGAAGGCAAAATGGCAGCATAGTATGCCAGTATGGCTATCGCTTCAGGCTTCCCATCAGCCATCTTCCGGGTAAAGTCTACAGAGACCATCAAGGACCAGGAAAAGACCATCTGAATCAGATGCTTCTGGCGCAGGAATACCCGGGTATCTAGATCATAAAGCGCGACTTGTACCAGCTCGACGGTAGACATGTAGATTTTCTTCTCAGCGGGCGGAATGTTTGGCGATGCGGATGTTAAACCCAAGATGCCGTCACATTCGGGGCCCAGACCCAATGACATCAGAGAAACGAGCTCCGACGTCTTCAACAATGCCTAGGCACGACTGAAAACTACCCTCAGATCTCTATGGATTCTTGCAAAGTTGATGTAGCAGTCGCTAAAGGCGTCAAAGTCAGGGCTGCGAAAGGCAAGTGCGTCGATGCAGAGCTGACGGCCGCGGAGGGCGGAGAACAGGACCAGGGGGACGCAGCTGGGCTCCTTGATTCGTGATTTTTGGGGCTTCAAATGATGAAATAGCTCTCGTTTGTAGCTGAAATGTATGGCGGAGAAATTCCGCCGCATGTTCTGGCTCGAAGCTCGACATGTGCCGAGCAGACAGGGCGAGGATATCGCGCATGAGATAGGGGCGTCGGCACCGGATTTGAGAACTGACTGGGTGTCTCGTTCGATGAGATGCTCTTCGAGCTCTGGTACGTGAAGTGCCAAAGAAAAATGCACGAGGAATCTTATGTGCGTCATGTTGATCATATGATGCGACCGCCTGGGGGGGCTTGGCCGACAACATTACCGGCACAGCCTATCAGGTGACCCAAGTCCGGAGTTGGAAATGACAGCAGGGCTTCTTCCACTCGGAGATCCATGCGGCGAATCCGGATTCAAAGTCGCGATATCGTAATCGCTCGCCGGCTCGAGTACGTGCATTTTGTAAGTTTGACTCTCGCACACCGCCTTGAAACCGAAGCTTCCGAACGATTGAACAGTTGCAGTGTGCGTGATCGAGGCCGGTGTCAAGACTGAAAACACACAAAGGCAACCATTGAGGCACTTCCATTTGACTAAAGGTTTGGCTTCGCTGGTCATCAAACCTTTTATGAATCTACACAGCTAGCTAGGCATACTCGTCCAACTTCTCTAAGGCATGACGCTTTACGAACGTGGGCCTCAGCCGGGTTATGTTTTCCTAGCTGCGCCAGGTTTCACGGGTGATCAGTTAAGCATACGGTGAACCTACCCGACTTTCATTGATTTCCGGAAGAGATAAGTAAGGGGCTGTATGTAAATGAATGGTAACCAAATACAGCCAAAACTTTTACCCGTATTTTGTAGAGCCTGCCGTTGACCGGTAGAGATATCTGCGGCCTCTCATGCCATGTCCGCCGACGAGGACCTTTCTCGAGTCGTGAGCATCGCTATGTATTCAATACTACCAGCCAATTGTAAATCACATAGGCTGAAGAAAATCTTTGATCATGAACGAATTCAAAGGAGCATTGCACTTGGTCACGTTTCCACCGGCATTCCTGTCCTCTTTTCACTCCTAAGTATTACTTCCCAACGAAAAATGGCCTCGTATAACAGATTGGAGGGGACTTTCTCAACTATGTCATCAATTCCACGATCATCAATAATATAAAGTTCAGTTCTAAGCACATACTTCGTACATTGGTTTTTGGAAGGATGCCTTCGCTCCGTACCTTGATAAATGGCGAGCGATAGAATTTGTCGTTGTATTATTCTCCAATGTAAATTATGTTGTACTCAACGGGGTTTGAAACCTGGTCTCAAACATGATCTCTTCTTAAAGTCGGTATGTCATATAGACCTTGCCCTTTGCCTTAAAAAACCTAACTAAATCCTCAAGCTCGGATCTCTGTGACGGACGTTTAAAAGAGCTGGTACATTGAAATAACCTGCCTCAAAATTCCTCACTGGTGTCCGCGTGCAGTGATCAACTTTCCTCTAAGAGTGCTTGTGACATGACCGGCAGTGGGATGGTCGTTCACCCTGCCTTCAAATGCAGAAGTTTGTGAAGCGACATAGTACTGATGTTGTTGCCAGATCCTCAACGAGTCCCGAGCTTCATATTTAAGGCTCAGCCCATACGAGCCTTCTAAAAAGGCAGTTTTCAAAGACTTGAAGTCGTTAAGCGTGATAATGAAATCACGCTCACCAGCGGGTAGCCTGCTTGCATGCCACTCATCTCTATGAGACCAGAGCAACAGGCTCTCTGCCGGTGGAAATTCCAGCCAGTGAACCTCGTTGCTGAAATTCTGCCCCCCTGCATGCTGCGCCGCCACAGCCCTCGTGGGAGCAATTACGCGCCAATCCCTTTTGGTTTTCGGTGCGAAAGACGCCTAACCAGCACACCTGCCTAGGCATTCCGCGAGGCGAACTCTTCTCAGACACATCAACGAGGGGGTCCAAGGAAAGCAGCCCCGCCAACGTCAAAAGAAAGTGGCCTGCACTCCAACGTTCTTCTATATCCCCGTTCACGTCTTCCCCGCTACTCACGAATGGTAAAGTGGTGCTTGGACTCGTAATCAACCGCTCGCAATGGCAGATCCATTTGGGATTATTGGCGTTATCGGCGTCGTAGGCCAAGTCGTCAATGCCGGAGTCAAGCTAGGAGTAGATTGGAAAGAAGCGCCGAGCGACGTACGGAGCTTCATGGGTGAACTCGAGGTACTGAAAACAGTCTTGTCCGAGACTCACATGAACATCATCCTAAACCAGGATTTCAAAGACGCTTTCGAAGGGCGGCAATCCACGGTACTTTCGCATCTTGCCGACGGAAATTCGTCATCGAACCCCAGCGCTCGGGGTCTCCTTTCCACTTGCAGCGACGAGCTTGGAGACCTGCTGAAGAAGCTGCACAAGCAGAGCGAGGGCCATTGTCTCGGCTGGCAAAGACTGAAAGGGGCGTTCCAGAGTGAACGAGCCCACACTGCTGTGGACGACCTTCAACGACGATGTCGACTGCTCAACAGTATGGTGGCTATTGACAACGTCGCAATGACAGCAGCCACCTTGGAACATGTCAAATGCACGAGGGATGAGATGCGGGCGCAGCGGATAGACGAGAACAGGGCCAGGATTTTAGAATGGATCACCCCGATTGACTATTCTGCACAACAAAGCGACAACCTGGAACGGAGGTGCGATGGTACCGGGCAGTGGCTCATAGACTCTGCTGAATTCAGGACGTGGGTCCAGACTGACAAGAGCATTTTGTTTTGCCCCGGCTTGCCAGGTGCTGGCAAAACAATCTTGACCTCTGTCGTGATTGACTATTTACATACGAGCCTATCCGATGATCCAACAATCGGGGTGGCCTACCTCTTTTGTAATTTTCGACGGCAACACGAACAGACTATGAAGGATATCCTGGCCAGCCTTCTCAAGCAGCTGTGTCATGCTCTACCCGCACTTCCGGTTGAAGTACAAAGCCTCTACGAAGCCCAAAGGAGAACAAACGCGCGGCCATCGACACTCGAACTAATCGAATTGATCCGAATCGTGGCAGCCTCACTCACAAAGACCTTTATCCTCATTGACGCTCTGGATGAGATTGAGCACCAAGCCGGCGATGCCCTGTTGGAAACCATCGCGGGCTTCCAGAAGCCATCAAACATCAGTCTCTTTGCCACTTCCAGACTCATCCCGAGTATCACGCAGCGATTCGAAAATGAACCGACTCTCGAGATCAGAGCCACGGATGCAGACGTGGCGAGATACTTGGATGGTGCCCTGGGACTGCTGCCAGCGTTTGTGATGAAAAATGCAGAATTACAAACACAAATCAAGACAAAGATTGTTGAGAGCGTTCATGGGATGTGAGTCATACCTCATTATCGACGACTTCCCAAAAAAAAAGAAAAGAAGAAGGCTAAGCTTGGAAAGGTTTCTTCTTGCGAAGCTCCATCTCCAGTCATTGACAGGCAAAAGGTCGCCAAAAGCCGTCAAAGCTGCTTTGCAAAAACTCGCAACCGGCTCTAGCGCGTACGACACCGCTTACGATGAAGCCTTTGAAAGGATCGAAGGCCAACTAGAGGACCAGGCAATTCTCGCCAAGGATGCACTGTCCTGGATTGTCTGTTCAAGAAGGCCGCTCAGTGTGGTCGAGCTACAGGAAGCTCTTGCTGTGGAGCGAGGCGCCGCCAAACTCGATCCGGAAAACCGCCCCGAGATGGAAGATGTAGTTTCTGCTTGCGCCGGGTTGCTCACAATCGACGAACACAGTCGTGTAGTGCGACTCGTCCATTACACTACGCAGGAGTATTTCCAGAGAAACAAGACCCGGCGGCTTCCTGAAGCAGACAGTCTGGTAACGACGACGTGTATTACCTACCTCATGTTCCAGGCTTTCGGCGAGGGTCCTTGCGGAAATTGGAAGCAATTTCATCGTCGTCTCGAGGATCACCTTCTTTACGACTACGCCGCGCGGAACTGGGGTTACCACGTTCAAGAATCATCTCTCTTCGGAGGCAATGTTCTAGCCTTTCTGGAGAGTCGAGAAAAGTTGGACGCCTCGTTCCAGGTACTCATCACAATCGAGAACTCGTTTGGTATACCTGAACGACCATACGTTCCGCCTCTGGGCTATTCTGGCCTCCATGTAGCTGCTTACTTTGGAATCAGAGAAGCCTTCAAGGTTGTTTCGAATGGAACCTATTCAAACAAGAGCAACTCTCTCCAGGGCCAGGCACACTACAATCCCGACAACAGGACACTCGACATCAACGCTCAAGATGAAACAGGCCAGACGCCGTTGTTTATTGCTGTCTCAAGGAACTTTGGCGATTTGATAAGAGATCTTATTGAATCTTATTCTGCAGACATCTGCAAGGATAAGGATGGGCGAACAATATTATCTTTTGCCGCCCAAAGGGGACACTTTGAGATTGTAAAGTATCTTATCGAGAGCTGTAAAAGCCATTTCGACATCAACGAAACCGACATAAAAGGCCAAACCCCTCTAATCCTCGCATTAAACCATGGCAACGAGGAAATTGCAAACTTCTTGCTTGAGGTAGATGGAATCAATCCCAACCTCAAAGACCAAAACGGGAGAACGGCCTTATTCTTTGCCGCAGCTTATGGGCACGAGTCTACTGTCAAGCGCCTTCATGAAACAGGCATAATTGATGCCAACGTCAAGGATAGCAACGGTCGAAGTGCGTTTTCTTATGCAGCAGGATATGGCGCCTTTCACGACCGCAAGAATTCTCTGAGGGAAGACATAATCAGCGTCAGAACAGGTTGCATGGACAGACCAGAAGGTTGGCCAGGGCATCAAACAATGCTGACGTCTTCCATCTACCGACTCATAGCCATACGTTCAAATATAGAAGCTCTCAGAGAGCTACACAAGGCAGGCGCTGATACCAACTCACAATGTGTCCACGGACGCACGCCCTTGTCGTACGCATGCGGTGCCGGCGGTTCGGCAACGATAGTAAGATACCTATTGGAGCTGGATGACATTGAAGTTGACGCCAGGGACAACGGAGGCCTAACCCCCTTGGCGTACGCAGCGAACAAGTCGGACAGTGAGATTGTTCTCTGTTTACTCCGGACCGGCAAGGTTGACGTGAATTCGAGGGATGTATTCGGACGACCGATTGTGGCTCAAATATGGTGTCCCATCTTTGATGACGAAAACGTGGGAGGCGCAAAAGCAACAAAAAAAATCGGTGCGGCGATGGAAACAAACATGCTGTTGATCGGGGTAGGGGGAGCTGATCCGAATTTGCGCGACAGATTTGGGCAAACGCTGCTTTGGAAAGCCATCTTTTGGAACGTTGCGATACTGGCTGAATACCTGGTCGAGACGGGTCTCATCGATGGGAGGTTGAATTTATGTGATGACAAGGGCCGCTCGCCGATGGATCTGATGGCTGAAACCCCGGCCCAACACAGGCGGGAGATTTCCCCGGCGCTCGTGGAATTGTACGATAGGTTGCAAGGCCTGAAGCCTAGGAGTTGTTGAATTTGGATGCTCTTCCTCTCTGATCATCTGGGACTCCCACTGCAGGCATTATCAGGGGCACGCAATGGAAGGGAGGTTACAGAGCATTCGATGATTTCCAAGGAAATACGATAACAATCGATTCGAAACTAGATGAGAGCTCAAGGAAATAACAGATGTAGATGACATCAAAACTCCAAAATGCCGAACCCAATGATTTCCAATCTCCCGTGTCCCCTTCTCTGCCTGCCAGCCACGGACCATCCAATCCCCTGTGCGGTTTCCATTGCCACCGATGTTATCCCTCTTCAGTTCCCATAACGCTCCCACACGAAATACAGATAAAATTTGTTACAACTCACTCATAACAACTAGTAGTAAAAGGAGATGGCAGAATTGTGGTTCTGATCGCCCTTGTGTCCCGTGTGACCTCGACATGTTCCCTGTCTATATCCTCCCAGCAGATTGTTTCCCATGCCCTCAACTCATAAAAGTACAATCCATATCCTCATAAAAGCGCCCCCATGATATCTTTGACGACATCTCCAAAACATAAACAATCTAATAAACACTACTCACACGTCTTCATGTCTTCGTAGTATGATGATGCCCATAACTCTTTCTCACCCTCTCACTATCACTTCACAGTCTCTAGTTGCTCCAATCGAACCCGACGCAAAGCTTGCTCTTCTTGCACACAGCCTTGGTGAGAGTCTGGATGCTACCACTGCTCAACAACTCGAGGACCTGCATGTTGGCCTCGAATTCGCGGGTGATGAAGTTTCGGATCTCAATGGCGACGAGAGAGTCTAGCGGGTAGTGCGACAAGCTGCGGGTGACGTCAAGATCCTCAATCTCCATCATCAGGACGGCGGCAATCTTCTCGACCAGGCCACGGCAAACGACCTCCATGGCCTCCGTCTCGCTGCGAGACGCCTTGAGGGCGGCGTTGAGTGATATGGCGCCGTTGGCACCGGCCTCGGCGGCAGCGAGCTCCTCGGCCGCCAGGCGCAGGGCCTTGAACTTGGCATCGGGAGTCCAGAAGGGCTGGATGCTGGGCGTGATGCGCATACCGGTGATGACGTGTTGGTTGCAGACCGAGGTCTTGCCCGAAATGGACGCGCCGATGAGAGCGAGGACCTCGGCCTCGCAGATGCTATCGGATCCCAAATTCTTGGCGACCTCAGCGGCACGCTCGGCGCTACCGTCAGCCAAGTAACCGGCATCAGAGACAGCGGTCAAATCGAGCGACGTGGCGGGCAGACCCAGAGCGAGACGGTGCTGGACGAAAGCGTTGAGGAAGCAGTTGGCAGCGGCGTAGGCGGCTTGACCACGGTTGCCGACGGCTCCGGCTGCGGAGGAAATGGCAATGAAGAAGTCGAGCTCGGTCTGGCGCTCCTGGAGGGCGTTGTGGAAGTTCCATGCACCCTGGACCTTGGACTCGGTGACCGAGGTGTAGTCGTTGAAGGTCATCTGCTCGAAAAGAACGTCCTAAGTTGATGTTAGTATATAGCGTATGAGTAGGATAAGGTTGGTGACATACGCGAAGGACCATGGCACCGTGGATGACACCACGGACGGGAGGAAGACCCTTGAGACCAGTGTTGAACAATTGCTCAACGCTAGATTTATCAGCAACGTTGCACGGGCGGACGGTGATGTGAGCACCATCGTTAGCAGCCTCGTCGATAAGCTCCTTGACCTTGCCGGTGGCAGATCCGCTTCGGGACAGGAGCACGAGGTTCCTGGCGCCGTGAGCAATCATCCATCTGGACATGCTGCGGCCGAGACCACCAGTACCGCCGATGAGGAGGTAGGTGGCGTCAGGTTTCAATAGAGCCTTGGCAGCCTTGGAAGGAGTAGCCATTACAACATCCTCAGCATGAGGAACAACGACCAACTTGCCAGGACCCTGAGTGGATTGCAGCGTCTTAAAGGCGGTCTCCATGCAGGAGACAGGAAAGACGGTGGCAGGGTCGATGGGTCGGAGCTGGTCGTCAGCCAGGAGCTTGGAGACATCAGCGACGAGTCTCTCCATGATCTTGGGCCTCTCAGCGGCAAGACCAAAGATATCAACGCTCAGGAAAGAAGCGTTGCTGTCAGACTGGCCCATGTCAAGGCGGGTAGCGCGAGAGCCATCCTTCCTGCGAACATCAACGAGGCAACCGAAGCGGCTGAGGCAAGCCCAGCTCTCTCTCAGAGCATCAGCGCCGGGAAGAGTGTTGAGAACGACGTCGACACCCTCGTCGTTGGTTGCGCGTCTAACGGCAGCTCTCCAGGTGGTGTTGCGGCTGTAGAAGATGTGGTCCTCCGGAACATTATAGTGCTGCATGAGAAGCTTCTTCTTGGCGGCAGTGCTGACAGTCACGAAGATCTCAGCACCAATCATCTTGGCGAGGCAGACGGAGGCCTGGCCGATGCCTCCACCAGCAGAATGAACCAGGATACGCTGGCCCTCACGGAGGCGGGCCTGCTCAACCAAGCTGTAGTAGGCAGTGCAGTAAGCCAGGGGAAGGGTAGAAGCGTCCTCGAAGGACATTTTCGAGGGCATAACCATGGCATTGGCAGCGGTGGTACGAGTGCGAGTAGCGTAGGCACCGTGGCTAATGGTCAGAGCAGCAATGCGGTCGCCGGCCTTGTGGGCCTTGACAGCAGAGCCGACTCTGGTGATGACTCCTGAAGCCTCGACACCAAGAGCATGCTTGTCAGCCTCGGGAATCTGGCCCTTGGCGATCATGACGTCGCGAAGGTTCATGCCGACAGCCTTGACGTCGAACTCGATCTCATCGTCACCAAGAGGCTGGGTAGCAGCAACATCGTCAACGAAGTGCACCGTCTCGATGGCGCCGGGAGTGGAGAACTCCATCTTGAGGCATCGGTTGTCCTTGCCAAAGGGCTGGAGCTCAACAACGCTGGGGTTGGTCTCACGGTGGACGAACTCGTTCATGTCCTCATCGTGAACGATGCGAGGAGTGGAGAGCTTTCCAGATCGCTCCATGAACTCAAGCTCACTAGTGGAGGAGGCACTTGCACCGAAGGCAAGTTTGAAGATCTCGAAGATGACAGCGGCGGAGTCATCCTCGTCAAGCTGGTTATTGTCATCCAGATCAAGGGTAGCGAAGGGCAGAACAGTCTCCGAACGGACGGTTCTGCTGAGACCGATAATCATGTTCGACTCAGGTGAGGTAGCCTTGTCATAGGCACCACGGACAACCCACAGGCAGCCCTGAACACCGGCAAGCATGCCACGGACCTCAGCGAACTGCTCCTTGGTAGGATTGGCGAGGAAAGGTTGTTCTATCTCAGTGAGAACGACGGTGAGCTTGCCCTCGGTGTTGACTTCGTGCATGGTACCCATCTCAGGCAGTCTTGAGGTAGCGCTAGCGAGAGCGATGGCAAGGCCATTAGCCAACATCTGCTGAGAGTTGGAGTCACCGTGAATAATGGCGACGTCGACATCCGGGAGAGGAGCATCGACCTTGACACCCGAGGCACCATTGATCTTGGTCTTGGACTTGCCCGATAGCGACTTCAAAGTTCCAATCTCCTCCCATTCAAGCTTGTAGCAAAGCTCGCGAGCAGGGTTGCTGGCCAGCTCGGTCTCTCCATCAATAATGGGAGAAACGGTGAGCTCGTCAATCTCAATGACAAGGTCGTTGGCTTCCGATGTAGCGAAAACGGAAACCTTGGTAGAGCGGGCCTCAGCAGGGAAGTCAGCCTTGCAGTAAGCCTTGAGGGTACTGCCGGCCTCCTTGGTGAGGGCGGTAATGTCGCGAGAGATAGACATGCGACCGATGGAGGAAGGGAGGTAGACAGTGTTGATGTCAGTTCGGCCGGCGCCAAGAATGGGCCAATACATCTCAATGACCGACTCCAAGAAGGTTGGGTGGAGAACAGAGCTGGTCTGGTAGTGGTTGGGCATGTCAGCCGCAACATCGTAGGCCGAGATACTACCAGTGGAGTACTTGTTCGACGCCTTGCAGTCCTTGATGCACTGGAACGAGGGGCCATAGCCAACACCGAGCTCAGTCAGGCGCTCGTACATGTCGTTCTCGGCAACAGCAACAGCCTCAGGCCCCTCGCTAGCCTTGATGGTAGCCTCAGCTCCACGAAGAGCGGCGAGCTTCTGCTCCTTGCCGTCCACCTCGTTGGTCTCGGTGCCATGGAGGGCAATAAGACCGACACAATGCTCTGTCCAGCCACTACCGTGTGACCAAGAGCAGATGCGGAATTCTTTCCAGGTCTCGGATGCAGTCAGGTTGGTCTCCTGGTGAGGACGCAGGTTGATGGTCATCTCAACATCAGCATCCTGCAGAGCCAACGGCTTGACGACGGACACATCTCTCAGCTCGAACTTCTCGAATGAAATCTCCTTGCGCTGAGCCCACTGAGCGGAAGCCTCCAAAGCCATGCCGATGAAGGCAGAAATGGGGAAGATTGTGACCGACTGGATCGCGTGGTGGCGAAGCCAAGGAAGGTCATCCAAGTGGACAATGTTTCTCCACGTGGGCTCGAGATCACTGGAGTAGATGGCCTCAAGACCAATCAAGTCATTTCTGGGTGATTTGCGGTACTTGTGCATCTGAGTCATGCGGGACTCTTGCCAGTACTTGTTTTGGTAGTTCCAGGCATAGCGGGGAAGATCGGTCAATAAAGACGGCTTCTTCCTCAGGTTGGGGAAATTAACATTGTCCATGTTGAGGATGGCACCCTTGGTGATAAGGTTGCAGGCCAGATCCATCGCAGACTCGACAGCATCCTTCTTGCGGACAAGGGGAGAGGCGTAAGGCACCTTCATGGCAGCCTCTCCGACGTGCTTCAGGATCTGTTTAATGGGGCCCTGGAGAGCAGAGTGGGGACCCAATTCGATGATCATATTGACACCGGTCTTGTGCTCGCCAACGGGCTCCAACATCGTCTCAAGAGCCTCAGAGAACCGCACAGGGCAGGTAAGGTTGTTGACCCAGTAGTGGGCCTGGCACTCGAAGCCGTCGATCTGGTGTCCGTAGAGGGAAGAATGGAAGCGAACATCGGTAGTCTGAGGGTGAGGAAGATCAGAGATGGACTCGCGGTATTCCTTGGCAACAAGGTTCATGTGGTGCGAGTGGTAAGCTGTCTCGACCTGCAGACGTCTGTTGAACATCTGCTTCTCCTCGAGGTTCTTCTCGAGCTCGCCGAGCGCTGCTGAATCACCGGAGATGGTCAAGCTGGACGGACTGTTGTAGCAAGCAATTCTGACCTGCTGCTGCTTGAGAGCGTCGATCATGGGCTGAACTTCCTCCTTGGTTCCGCCAACGGCCATCATGGAGCCCTGAAGATCGGGATTTCTTTGCTTGAGGATAGGTATAAGACGACCTCTATGGTAGGCAATGGCCATGGCGGCCTCGAAGCCAATGATGCCAGCAGCGTATGCGGCACCGATTTCACCACTTGAGTGACCAGCGACAGCTGCGGGGCGGATACCCCATGTGCGAAGCAGGTCAGTCAATGCAAGCTGGACAGCACTGCAGGCCGGCTGACTGATGTGAGCCTCAGAAACCTTGGAGGATTCTTGGTCCTTGCTGAGTTCCTCGAGGAGAGACCACTCGGCGCCCAACTTTCTCAGGCACTCGTCGGCTCTGTCGATGGCGGCAGTGTAGATGGGGTACTGGCCGTATAACTCGCGACCCATGCCCCACCACTGAGCACCCTGACCCGTGAAGACGAAACCAATCCTCAAGGGCTCGGTTTCCTTGCCGGGAATGACCTTGCCACTGTTGAGGGTCTCGATGAGCTCGAAGGAGTCAGTGGCAGGGATCGCAACCCTCCACGGGAGCATGGAGCGACGCGAACCAAGAGTGTAAGCGATGTTGTCCATGAGATCATTCTGGAAAATCTCAGGTCGTTGCTCGAGGTAGACGACGAGGCTCTTCATGACAGCACCGACAGAGTTCTTGTCATTGGCAGACAAGACGTAGATCTTCTTGGTGCTCTTGGACTTCTTGTTGTCAGGAGGAGGAAGGTTCTTGGAGTCCTTCTTGGGAGCCCCAGTGTGCGGTGCCTTCTCAAGAACAACGTGTGCGTTGGTGCCACCGAAACCGAAGTTGTTGACACTGATGTACTTCTTGTTCTTGGGGAAGGGCCTCTGAGTGGCGGGGACCTTCATGTTCCACTCCTTCCAAGGAATCTTCTCATTGGGCTTCTTGAAGTCATGGTTGGGGAGGAGGAAACCTCTCTCCAGCATCATAGTTGCCTTGATGATACCAGCGATACCAGACGCCGCTTCCAAATGTCCAATATTGGACTTGACTGAGCCAATAAACAAGGGATCTTTTGTTGATCTGTTCTGACCAATCACATTGTGAATAGCAGTGGCCTCGATCGGGTCACCGACCTTGGTACCGGTGCCGTGAGCCTCGACATAACCGCAGTCATTGGGGTCAAGACCTGCGTTTCTGTAGATCTGCCTCATGAGCTTCTCTGTGCAAGTTGTCAGCGAATGGCTTCATGGTCAAGTGAATATGGTATCGCATACCCTGTGCTGCGCCACTAGGCATGGTGATACCAGGCGTCTTGCCATCCTGGTTGATACCAGTACCTCTAATGACGGCACGGATTGAGTCGTTGTCTCTGATGGCCTGGTCAAGAGGCTTCAGAATGATCATACCGCAACCTTCGCCACGGCCGAAGCCGGTACCGCGCTGGTCAAAGGCAATAGATCGGCCAGAGTCTGCGAGCAACCTGCAATCACTGTGTCAGCACAGGGGAAAAGTGCGACGAAAAGCATCCAAGCGTGCAGCGCGGGCTTACCTGCAAGACGAGAAGGAAATCCAAAACTCGGGCAACATGTTCAGATGGCAACCACCAACAATCGCGGAAGTTGACTCGCCGGCACGCAAACTCTGGCACGCCAAGTGGAGGGCGACCAAACTCGCTGAGCAAGCGGTGTCTGCTGTGAAACTCGGTCCCCTGAGATCGAAGAAATGTGAGAGTCTGTTGGACTGCATCGCATGGGCACACCCTAAACCATATGTTAGCGCAATTAAACGTTTGGGGTACAGGGGTCATCCTCGTACCTGTGGCCTGGTGCATGGGGATCGTGTCACTGTCCCTGAACAAGTGACTCTCGTACTCGGCGAAGCTGCCGCCGACAAAGACACCGACGTCTTTTCCAACAATCGTGTGCTTGGGGATACCGGCATTCTCGAGAGCCTCAAATGTGCACTCGAGCAGAAGACGCTGCTGGGGGTCCATGGAGATGGCCTCCTTCTCTGTCAAGCCAAAGAAAGGGGCATCGAACGACGCCAGGTCGACGTCCAGGAAATTACCGCCCTCGGCGTGGTAAGCTCCAGTCTTGCCCGGATTCGGGTGGTAGAAAGCCTCATGGTTGAAGCGCTCCTTCGGCACGGGAGTGAAGCCGGTTCTGGCGCGGGAGCACAGCTCCCAGAACTCGGCGGGGCTGGAGACGCTGCCGGGCATACGGCAGGCCATACCGACGATGGCGATGGGCATCTGCTTCAAGCCGGCGTCGCTGCCGCCGACCGGGTTCGTGTAACCCTGGCTCGTCGCATGAGCACTGGCGCTGCCGTTCGAGTGGCCGTTGGGGTGGCCATTTGATGATTGTCCGTGGATGTTGAGGCCGACGCCGTCTAGGGGCCCCACAGAGAGGCTAGTGAAGCCATCGGAGGTGGTATCGGAGTGATCGATCGGGGTCATCATGACAGGACTTGCCGAAGGCGATGTCCCCGATGAGGAGTAGGACAGCACGCCGGGCGCCATGATGAAGGGTGGAGGAGGAGGAGGAGGAGGATTTGCGGAAGCCGCTGTTGTGTGTCGATTCTATTCGGCAAGCATTCGTCGAAAGCAACGAAAAAAGTGACAGCGAAGGTTCCGGCGCTCTAGGCGTTCCTTACAATGACCAAAGAAGACGGGAAGAATGCGGATGAAGAGGAGGAAGAAACGAAAGGCGGACTGCGTATGCTCTAGATAGGAACTTGGGGCTTGGAAGAGGGCAGGCCGGATTGATATGGGAGTACGTACCAAGCCTCGTTGAGATGAGTGAGTGTGAAGAAACTTCTTTCCTGGTCCTGGTTGGGATTCTTTGTAGGGTTTTTAGCTGATCAACGGCCATGGGGAAATATCACACTTGATGGTGCTCGCTCCGTCGCGAGTGGGTTGACATGGAAGGGACTGGTTGGTGATCAGATCGCCAAGTCGGCCGGAGTTCCTCGCACAGACTAGCCTGTGTGATTTAGATTTGCCTGACGGTTAGGTAGATCATAGGGAGATCCCGAACGTGCATACTAGGCGCAGGCCAGGAACGAAGATGGGCCATCACGGAGAGTTGCCAGGGCACATCCGATGCCGGGTTGCCCATGTCGAGCCGGAGGAGCGGAGCAGCGGCAGTCCCTGCTAACCACGACGTCGCCTCCCCCAGATTCACCAGGGAGGACTGGTTAATAGCAGCACGAGGGTGGTGGCCTGGTGGTGGCCTGGTGGCGGCCGAGGCGAGAAGCTTGTACCATGTCTATGGTTAATTTGGTCAAAAGCAAGTCCTCATGAACTGATTATGCGTAATGTGTAGGCAAATTGGTATATCCGTTCGCTATATTCGAGCATCACTGGAGAAGGGATATGCGGTCCATTGAGCAGCGAGAAGCAGCCCCGGCGGTTCATCGTTCAAAGGGGTGGTTCCACATCCAATCGGTCACCGTGATTCGGAGACATGATCAACTTCAAGGCGGTTTGCCCTTGATTCGCTCGATGCTGAATGGCGTGAAGAGGTGCCTTAGTTTGTTTGTAGTTGAGCGGCACTGCCAGGTTGGTATGCAGTTTGTTACGCAGTTTGCTTGCAGAGTGCAGAAGCCGGACGTTTGACTCGGACCAAAGACATGACGGCGCAATGAACACTCGAACCTCCTGGACGGGGGCCCGGTGGCGTGGTTCGGCAGTGAGGTGGTGAAGTCGTCGTCGAGGCTGACCAGACGTTGGGGGATTGCCATGGTGCCTGCACCGGCACGCCGCACCAGACGGCTGGGGGTTTCTCTTGGGGGTGGAGCAATCCCACTGGGGTACTGGACCGTGAAGCAGCAGCAACGGCGAGTTGGGCCCAGGAGGTGGAGCAGCAGCGGCAGGAGCAGCAAAGCCAAGCACCCGCATGGCAACGCAGCACGCAGCCACGCAGTGTTCTCCGTGGACGTGGGAGACGAGGTCATTGCGGCGTGGTCCCGACTCGGCCTAGCGGGCCGGAGTGGAGAACTCTGTTCCCGATTATGTAAGGGCCCTACGCCACCGTGATTGGCCCCCGGAGGCTCTTTGTGAGGCTCACAGTATGGACTCATGGAGGCTCTGTGGGGATTCCTCTGGGGGCGGGCTATTTGCGGCCGATGTCTGGAAGTTGCCGCTGCAGTGGCGAGCCAGTAATTCGGTCCCAAGGGAGAGCAACAAGGAATGAAATCCTGCAGCCTCTGGCCCATACTGACCATCCCACTGAACGAGACAGAGGCAGAGAGAGGCAGAGCAGCTCTGAAAGCTGCCCGTAGAAGAGATGATGGGGCGGAGTGCATATTTCCCCCCATCTCCAGGCATCCGTCTGGTCCTATTTGCTGGGAATATCTGCGGCTTCTGTGGTTTCTGCAGGACATTCTCCTGCTGGAGAAATCCAACGTGGCGGAGCTTGTTTCTTCATCTGCTCTCATGTTGAGTTGGTCTGGTAATCGGCGCTCGTTTGTTCTTCGGTTTGGAAAAGAGTGTGTCTTGTGTCAAAAGCACCGACGGTCGTGATAGCGGCGGCGAAGGTGTCGAGGCGCTGCGTCTGTTCTCCGCCCATTTTCGTCCCGATGACATGGTCAGGAACAGTACAGAGGCCTATCGCATCACGCACACCTAGACCCCCAGCCAGCATATGCGGTGCCGGTTCATGTACAGATGAGTAAGAAAAACCAGGACCGTTCCAACGTCTGTCTTACTGTAAGACAGCCCAGCGAACGGGATGGAGTGGACACCCAGTAGCAGCAGCAGCAGCAGCAGCAGTACCTGCACCTGCGATATTATCCGGCGGGTGAGACATCTGGGGAGAGAAGGGGGAATAAAGCAGGGGTTGGAGGTACAGAAAAATGCGGCCGCAGATCCAAGCTGCAGAGAGTTCGCAGTGATTGCAGGTGGGAGCTGCAGCCTTTCGAACGGCACCATATGCAGGTGCTGGTGCAGGATCCCGAAAAAGGAATGGTCGGATCTATCGCCCGAATTGGTCTACCTTGGCTTTTTTCGCCTGACCTGACGACTGGGGATGGGAGAAACGAGAGACGAGAGACGAGGGACGAGAGACGAGGATGGAGAAGATGAGGTCGACGTAAGGTCATAATGGGTTGCACCGCATAGGACGATATCCACTTTACCACCGTATCGGCCTATCGCATCTACCCTCATTATCGTACTACACTGTCTAAGACATTCTACCCGTCCGTAGGTACACCCATTGGTAGTCCGTCCACCCTCATTTAACCCAACTCGCCTTCACCATTTCCCCGTCTCTCAAACACAACTAATTACACCCATCATCCTTCTCGACAACGACAATCGTAACCGCTTGTCCTTTCAGCCCAGAAGCTTCGGTATCGCATTCAATCTTCGACCCCCTATCCCAGCTCTGCTCGTTATCACTGGCAGAGAGCCCAAGGCATGAAGGGTGTTTCTAAAACCGCTTCTGTCAGAAAGCTTTGGCAGCTTCCAAATCACAAGCGCGCCCTCCGTCGCACCTCCTTCCCGTGCCGTTGCACCATCAAAGCTCTTATTTGACACGCGCCAGCCACACTAGCGGCCTTGTCCCTGCACCGCACTCGATTTGCGTAGGACCGTAGGTAGCCCTGGCTCCAAGTGGCTCTTGTGTACCTCAGTAATCTCAACAGGGTACTTCGGATTTTGCCGCCCTGCCCTGCGCTACGCATCTTTTTGTCTTTGTGTACCTGAGTCCTGCTCGCCCTGCGCTTCGCGGTGCTCACTCACCCAAGGATCACACACGAGAACTCATTCCGCAGTGTGTCCTGTTCCATCCCAGCCCATCTAACCACATCCCGTCAAGTCGTTCTGCAAGTCAGCGAACGGCCGTGTTCCAAGGAAAACGCATCTTTGCAAAACAATGTTTCCTTCTCTGCAAACACACGCGCCTACTGTCGACGCCGCTCACTCATCCCCCAGCCGCCCAATCGCCCAATCTCTGTCACACGTCTTCATCCACGCCCACTCTCCAATATGTACGCACAAACACACTCTCACAACTCCACTCGAGCCCATCCTCTTCAGCACACTTTCTGCCTATCCTACCCATCTCGCTCCGCTCATCTCCTCGCTCGTTCCAGTCAGATGGACGAGACCGTCACACCCACACTGCGCCCCCGCGCGGGCACTTCCTTGTCCCGTTTCAAGCGTACAAGGTGACAAGAGCCGGACCGAAGTCCAGCCCAAAGTCCATTTCACAGCCAATGTGCCATCAGTTGCACCAGTGCATCATCAGCACGTCGACCGAGGGTTCGGATCTCGGGATGCGCAGAGACTGACTGGCAGCCTGCCACGCTTATCAGACTATCTGCCAAGTGTCTTGCCTCTCTGCAGAGAAGCCCACTGGCAGGCATTCTTTGACTCCTTCCATGTGGCGTGGCGCCTCGCCGCGCTTGTTTCGTCTCCCTGTATTGAGTCGCCCACTCTGCCACTCACCAACACCGTCTATCCTCGTCCAGTTTTCCTCGCCCGAGGACCGTGACACCCTGCCAAGCCGGTCTCAGGACCGATGCTCACAGGCCCGGTCTCACTTCACCTCATCATTCCAACCCTTTCACTGTGAAGCATACTCATCCACTCATCAGCCGCTGGCTCTAGTCAGTATCCGCTCCCGCTCCAGCTCCAGCTCCAGCTCCAGCAGACAGCCCAAACCAACCCGTTGTTCGGGCTGGTCCCATCATTCAACGGCAAGGCACCACCAAAATAACTCATCGCCTCAATCTTGATGAGGTGCAGAGTTTCACAAGTTCCTTATTCGTTCCGGGTCACGGCCGATTTGAGTTGTCATTCTAAGCCTGGGACTAGGCCAACTCAGCCGCCTCCTGTGTCTTGTCGTCGTCCCGCCTCTACTGCTGCGCCGTCTCATTACCTGTCTGAGCTGATGATTTCGTCGTGGGCCGATTACCGCACATCACATTACAAGTGTTTCTTTAGATAGCTTCGAATTGATTAAAACGCTCCCGTTGGCCAGGCCATCCTCATCGAACTACCTCATCTCCACACTTCGCTGATTCATCATCCACAATTATCAATATCCTCAAACCACTTCATCACGAACACTCTTGCGTCCACTTTCTAGCTTCCCGCTTTTTGACAGTTCACTTGTCATTGGACGATCGGTCTCGCTCGGTTCCGCCCTCACATCCTACGCTAACCCATACCAACGTTCACCATGTTGCGCTTCTTGTGCCTTCCCGGTGCCTACGGCAGCTCGGACGTGAGTACTCAGACGCGTTGATGCCATCTCAGACATGCCACTAACATACACTAGAAATTCCAAGTTCAACTTGGTGAGTTCTCTCACTCTCATGCAGTCCACTTCCACAGCGGACTTTTCGTGAGCGGCTTCATTCTCGGAATTCACATACTCACAAATTTCCAGCCCCCATCTTGAAGGAACTCACTGAGGATGGCACGGCGCAATTCCACTTCATTCATGGACCTTGCAAGGCCGTCCCGCCTCCCGGCTTCGAGGACTACTTCGGAGCTCCTCCCTACTACCGCTTCATCGAGCCCGATAGGGATGTCGAGAAGTCCCACAGCGACGACGTCCTCATGCGCATTCGTGACTTCCCCGACTGCGAGACCCCCGAGGACACGATGAGGGAGCTCATGAGAGAGGGTATCGCAACCACTCATCGCAGTACCGACAGAGCCATCAAGTTCTTATCCGACATTGTCGCAAAGCGCGGCCCGTTTGACGGCATCATCGGCTACTCCGAGGGCGCTACGGTGGCATCCACCTTTATGCTTTACGAGCAGCGCCGCCTCAAGCGCTCCGGCATCAAGCCGGCGTTCAAGTACGGCATCTTCTTTGCTGGTTGGCCGCCGGTCGACCCCAAGACCCACGCCCTGGTCCTCTCCGACGAGAGAGAAGAGAGGATCGAGGCTCGCACCTTGCACATCAGTAAGTCAAAATGTTGCATTAATCATGCTTCACCGGAGGAGTGCTGATTATCCTCTTCCTTTTAGTCGGATCCTTGGATCCTTATGTCGATGGTTCTATGGCCCTGTACAACATTTGCGATCCGGACACCGCGTATCTCTTCGATCACGCCAAGGGCCACACTCTACCCCGTGACAAGGACACCATCAAGGAGCTTGGTGACATCATTCGCGAGGCCCAGGCTGACATGCAAGAAGAGGGCCTGCTGTCGTAGGAAAGGGGCGTGTGGGGGAAGGATGACCCCAGCCAAGGGGCTGTCCCCGGATAATTAGCATCGATTGAAGCATCGATTGAAGCATCGATTGTCGTTTTTGGATTTTTGACCGAGGGGGAGGGAGGAACAGCAAAGGGACTGGTCTCCTCTCGTGTCAGCATTAGAGATAAACGGGTGTTGGGCATGCCGCATATCCTGGAGCCTGCTGGAGTCGGGTAGTATGGGTTATTTGGGTTTGTTTGCGTTGATTTATGGTTTTCCTGGCTTTGCTATTTTGCAACTCATGTTTCCGCCACCAAAGAGAATCTGGTGGCGAGGCTTTGGAGAGGTATTAGTTAAGTACTATGGCGGGTTACAGCTAGAGAAATTCTAGATGGCGTTGCCGCAGCATTTTGACAGGAGTTCCCATGGCGGGACCGTCAACATGTCAGATGTGATTGACTACATAGAGCGAGAAGTGCATAAATGCATGACCCAGCGGAAACAACCTCCGTATGGTCTGGAGGCCTTTTCTCTCTCTTGGTTATAATGGGGTAAGGTATGGACTTGTCAGGTAGCCTTTCGAAGCAAGATGTCAAATACTCCATGTGCGACGAATACACACCGTGGAGACACTTGCTCCTAAACGCAAACATGGGCAGAGAAAACGCGTTGGGCAGGAATAAAAAACTTTCCTCTTCACGTGTGTCCTCGGGATTGTTTCTCCTGGCTCGCCTCCCGTCCGGCCGGCCAATCCATGCCGTTCATCTGCGAACCATCAACACCTCTTTCCCTGACTTGTAAAACAAAAGATGAAATCTCTCCATGAAATTTCCTTTCTAGGCATTGATCGTCAGAGATTGGCGACATACGAAGAGAACGAGAGGGTCGTTGAAGGTAGGTACATTGTAGGGATGGTTAGGGATGGGTAGGGGGGAGGGTTGGGTGCAATACCTGTCTTGGATCGCAAAGCATGCGTTTCCTGGCTTTGCCCCAGACCCCTCTGGGACGAGCCGGAAAGTCATCAATCCTCCCGCACGGGCTATCCCAGATAGCCCCTCAACCTGCATATGCGGGTATGAGAAAATGGTATGCACTACGTAGAATTTCGGTCTCTGGCACGCGCTTTGGGTGTAAAGCTTTGACACGAAAAGGTGCGTGGTGGGCGAGAAAGGACTTACAGAGGTACCGCGCAAATGAGCGGCAAAACTGGTGCACCTTGTAGCTGGGAGAAGGAGAAGGAGAAGGAGAACAACACTTGCTCCCCGTTTCATCTTTACATCACACGGATAAAGAAAGAAACCACGTCCGTTCCCTTACTCGTTTCCGCTTTCCCCCTGCAAGACCGATCTGAGCTTAACCTCCACACACTCTCAGCCATCTTTGCCCCATTCCTTCGATGACCCTTCCTCCCCCTCCACGCTCCGCCCTCGCCCTCGAGGTTTCCCTATTGAGTTCCACTTGGGCGTTTCCTACGTTGAATCATCGACTTGGGCTTGTCTTTGCTGTCCAGGCTCCTCCCCAAGGCATCAACCACCTGCTCTCCAAGAACCCACCTACTCTCTCCCGTCTCCAAATCCGTCCCATCTCTTCCACCAAGCAATCTCACAATCCTCATCCCCAAACAACTCTCTCGGCGCTGGGTCGATTTCGCTGTTTCGAACAGCGATGCGGCATCAACACAGCCCTTTTCTCACCCAGATGGCCCATTGACAACCTCAGTGGTTACATCTGCTGTTCCCTCCATTTCACAGCGATACACCCCCCCATCCCCCGATTTCCCCTTTCCAAACCCTTGTCCCGTTCTCCCCTTCCCCTTTCCCCTCCCCCTCCCCTCCCTTCCTGATCGAGTTTTGGCTGTGGTTTCCTCCAAAGTCTCCTTCTGCGATTTGCCAACTTCTCCATTCCCTGGATCCTGGGAAGTCGCCTCCTTATTCTTTCTCCATTGTTGCAAACTGCCGCGGGACGACAAAAGACGCCACCTTGAATCTCAGAAGCAACATTTGGCATTTGACAGATCTTCCTCGACATTGGCATCAAACATCGCATAAGGACACGAGCCTTTGGTCAAAGTATACCGGACCTACTACTACTACTACCACTTAATCGAACCCCCTCCTACACGCCGATCCCTGGTCTGCTCCCATATGGCCCGGGCCTCCACATAGCTTGCCACCGAAACACAATCTGCCGCTGGACCCGGTACCCGATCGCCCACCCCGGTCTACGAGACCCACTCCACCACCACCAACCCGAACCCACCATGGCCACGCCGGCCGGCGCCGCTACGGCGGCAGCTCCGGCTGCGGCCAACGGGGCCGCGGGCGCCCCCACCGACCCCGGTGCCACAACGGAGCCCAAGAAGGCCTGGTACAAACTTAATGCCAAGACGTTGTCGACGATACGCAACTTTTTTGTATGTTTAGCTGACTGCAGCACCTTGTCGCCGTCGTGGTTTTCTCGTCCATGTTCGTTGCTGACTGGCGACGCAGAAAATCTTCCACTATGGAACACTCCTGGACAAGTTCATCATCGTAGGGTCCATCTTTGGTGCGATTGGTGCCGGACTTACCATGCCGGTGATGAACATTGTCTTTGGTGGGTCCATCATCCCACTCAACACTACCCTAGATTACTAACACGTTTAGGACAACTTGTCGGCACCTTTACTGGGTTCTTCATGCAAGGTACATCAGAGACGCAAGAAGACTTTGAGAAGGCAGTCAACCGGGGAGTGTGAGTCGCAACACGGATTCAACAATTGCCGCATCAACTGACGCTTGCCTAGATTATACATTGTGTATCTATTCATTGCCAGACTCATCTTGACGTATCTATCCAACGTGAGTACTGAAAACACCTGGGTTTTGCAACCACTGACGCGTCATTAGCTCGGCTTCCGCATGACGAGTCTTCGTATCTCAGCCAAGATCCGCCTGCATTATCTGCGATGCCTATTCAACCTCCCAATCTCAATGCTGGACATGCTAGCGCCCGGTCAGACAGCCGCCATCATCACCATCACGGCCAGCATCTTGCAGCTGGGTATCTCCGAGAAGATGGGACAGTTCTTCTCCAGTCTATCGGTCGTCATTGCCGGCTTCAGCATCGCTTTCGCCTATAATTGGCTTCTCACGCTTACGACAAGTTCCGGATTGGTCTTTATCGCCATCGTCTACGCCATCACTACACCGCCAATCATCAAGAGGTTGAAGGATGTCCAGGACATGGATATTCAGGCCGCGTCTGTCGCCACCGAGGCGTTTAGTTCAATCCGAATGCTCGCTGCGTGCGGCGCTGAGTTTAAGCTGCTTGCAAAATACGGACTTTTGGCTGATCAATCGAGAAAAAGGGGTGCCGGTATGGCTTGGCTCATTGCGATTCAGCAAGGACTAAGTACATTTTTCCGGCGTCATTGAAAGAGTTGCTTTTTGCTGACATTCCACAGTTTTCTTCGCCATTTATGCGTAAGAATTCGATCCTACCTACGGACAGGTCGACCTGTTGGCTAACACTTGTAGGACCTTTGCCCTATCATTCTGGTACGCTTTCCAGATGTACACCATGATGGCATTGACAACTCCCACATCCTTGATCGTGTAAGTAATCCTCATCCTTTGGGAACCAGCTTCGAGTAGCTCATCCGAAATATAGCGTTCTCCTCTGCATCATGATGATGGCATCCTCCCTGGGTCAGATTACCGCGCCTCTGCAATCCGCATCTCAAGCAGCCGACGCCAACGCCATCTTCCACACCATCATCGATGCCCCGAAGGCCACGTACGGAACGCTCAAGGCGCCCGAGGTCTCGGCCGCCGAAGATATTGTGTTCCAGGCTGTCAACTTTGTGTACCCCAAGCGCCCGGACGTGAAAATTTTGGACAACCTCTGTCTAAAGTTCCCTGCCGGCAAAGTCACTGCCATCGTGGGCCCCTCGGGTTCCGGAAAGAGTACGATTGTCGGAATCCTGGAGAGATGGTACGAGTTCAATGGCGATATGCAAACCAACCAGCTGGTATGCCAATCTTTTTTCAAAGTCGTTTGTTCGCAAGTACGGTAATTGACACCAGCTTCTAGGTCCTCTGGCTTCGCAACGGTATAATCAGTGTCGGCGGTCGGCTACTGAGCGAAATTGATCCAAAGTGGTGGCGTAGCCAAATCGGCTTGGTTCAACAAGACAACGCCCTCTTCAACACGACCATCTTCCAGAATGTCGAGTACGGTCTCATCGGCACTGAATGGGAGCACAAGTCTCAGGCGGTCAAGGCAAGATTGATTGAAGAGGCGTGCAAGGATGCTTTTGCCGATGAATTCATCTCCCGCCTGCCAGAGGTACAATTTTCCGAATAGTCCTCGACTGAGTGCCTTTCATGCTGACATTTTTCCAGGGATACCAAACGGAAGTGGGCGATGCCGGCATCAAGCTCAGTGGCGGCCAGCGCCAGCGTCTCGCAATCGCCCGCGCCATCGTCAAGCAGCCCAAGATTTTGATTCTCGACGAGGCCACCTCTGCCATCGATGTCCGCAGCGAACAGATTGTGCAAGCCGCTCTCGACCGCGCATGCAAGGGACGCACTACCATCATCATTGCTCATCGTCTCGGAACCATCAAGAAGGCCGACAACATTATTCTTCTCCGCAAGGGCCAGGTTGTCCAGCAGGGTACGCACGAAGAGCTCATGGCCCAGGTCGACGGACCCTACCACCTGCTGGCTACGGCACAGAAGCTGGACATGGGTGTTGAAGAGGAGGAGGACGTCCTATTCGGTGACCTCAGCTGGAGACGGCCCGAGCCCGAGCGTCTGTCTGTTCACAGGTCGCTTCAGGGAGGTAGCAGTACTGGAGACCTCACTGAGAAGAGGCCCAGTAGCGAGGGCACTTCCACGGGTATGCTCCAGCATCTTCACGAGATCAATGGTTCCGACGAGGAACTCGAGCGCATTGAGGCTGGTAGCTTGAGAGTGATCAAGGAGCCTCGAGGCTGCCTCGGTCGATGGAGGGCATTCCACATGTTTGGCAGCTTCGGTCAGTTGCTTGGCGAGCAGAGGAAGCGTTGGAAGACGTATATCATCATTGCCTTCGCGGCACTTGGTGCTGGAGGTAAGCACTCGCCAACATTCCGTGGCCCTGTCTGAGTGGGAATACTAACGCACTTCGCAGCGAGCACTCCTGTTCAAGCTTACCTGTTTGCGGTCTTGGTCTCTCTCTTCTCGTATTGGGGCAACTTCCTGAGGGTCATTGCCAATCATTGGTGTGAGATGTTCATGTACCTCGCTACAGGTGTTGGCGTCAGTCATTTCCTTCTTGGCTGGGCTACAACCACGATTGGCTTCGTAAGTCACTCTTCCGTTTTTGTGTCGAGGAAACTCTCTAATCAAGCTTCAGGGTATCGTCCGCGTCTATCGCAAGGAGTACTTCCGCAACATCATTTACAAGCCTTCCTCATTCTTCGATGCCGAGGGCAACTCGGCCGGTTCTTTGACGGCCCGCCTCGCTACCGACCCCACCATGCTCCAACAGCTCCTAGGCACGAACATGGCCTTCGTCCTCATCTCGCTCTTCAACGTCATCGGCTGCGTCGTCGTCGGTCTCGTCTTTGGCTGGAAGCTGACGCTCGTCGCGCTCGGCACGTCCATGCCCATCATCGTGGCGGCCATGTTCTACCGCGTGAGGCACGAAACCACCTTCGAGACCGCCAATAATGCCGTCTTTGCCGAGAGCGCCAAGTTCGCCTCGGAGAGTATCAGCGCCATTCGCACCGTTTCCAGTCTGACTATGGAGGACGGAATTTGCGACCGCTATGATACTTTGCTGAATAACCACATCAAGGATGCTTTCCGCAACTCCCGCTTCTCCGTCATGGTCTTCTCTTTTAGCGACAGTATCTCGTTGCTCTGCATGGCTTTCGTGCTTTGGTGAGTGGCTCTGCGCACGAATTGCAACCTTCTTTCACTGACTCTTCGCAGGTACGGTGGCAAGCTGCTCTCTGGGCACGAGTACACGCCCTTCCAGTATAGTAAGTAACGACAATTGAACTTCATCAACTTTGACTGACATTTTCTCAGTGGTCGTCTACATTGCGGTTGTTCAAGGCGGCATGAGTGCCGGTCAATGGCTCAGCTTTGGTCCCAGTAAGACCCCCTCCCCCCCTACTTTCCACGCATGAATGCAGCTGACAGGGCGACAGACATTGCCAAGGCAAAGACGGCAGCGGACCGCATCCTGGCTCTGCGAGAGAACGAGGATGACGAGAACCTACCACAAAAGGGCATCAGCGATATCGTCCCCTACGAGGTCCACTACGAAAAGGGCGTCGAGATCGAGTTCAAGGACGTCTGGTTCAGCTACCCCACGAGAACACTCCCCGTTCTCAAAGGCCTGGACCTGAAGATTGAGCGAGGCCAGTTCGCCGCCATCGTCGGCCCTTCGGGTTCTGGAAAGACGACAATCATCTCCCTCCTCGAACGCTTCTACACGCTCCAGGCCGGCGGCGAGATCCTCTACAACGGCCACGACATCAAGACGCTCGACCTCGTCAACTACCGCAAGAACATCTCGCTCGTCTCCCAGGAGCCCAACCTGTTCACCGGTTCTATTCGCGAAAATATCTTGCTCGGTATCGAGGATGAGGACGCCGTGTCGGACGAAGCCATTCACGCCGCGGCGCGCGACGCCGGGATCCACGACTTTATTGTCTCGTTGCCCGAGGGCTACAATACGCAGGTCGGCAACGCGGGTGTCACGCTCTCGGGAGGCCAGAAGCAGCGCGTCTCCATTGCGAGAGCGCTCATCCGTCGGCCTTCGCTGTTGTTGCTCGACGAGGCGACGAGCGCGCTCGACAGCGAGACAGAGCGCGGCGTCCAGGCCGTGTTTGATGCCACCAAGGGCAGCCGTACGATGATCATGGTCGCTCATAGGCTGGCGACCGTGCAGAATGCCGACATCATCTTCGTCATGGCGGACGGTAAGGTGGTTGAGCGGGGTGATCACGCGAGTCTGATTGCCGAGAAGGGCATTTACTTCCAGATGGTGAGTCCCCCTCCATCCTCCCATGCCATTTTGCCTATCCATTCCCAAGAACCCCAGCTAACCTTTCAATAGTGTCAATCGCAAGCATTGGATAAGTAAAGTCGGAGGAGGTTCTCTCTCTCCATCCGGCTGGGGTTTAGACAAACAAGAGGAAAGTGGTAAAGGCGTCAAAGAAAGATTGTGTACAACTAACATCAATACCACGGGTTTTATTTCTTTTGAAATTTTTCTCCATTGCATTTTCAATGCTTGCTACAACCTCAAAGTCACTACTTTGCATGTTATCTCGTCTCCATTTTAGAAATAGCTTTCTTGACTACCATTATTGAAATTTTGAGAAACTTTCTCTATTGATCAAGATGACTGGTCCCTCTGAAGTTGAGAGTACCTAATACACCTCACTTGCTTGACTGCCCGAGGTTCTTACAACACGGTCATTGCATGCGACTCACTCAACCAGCCACATGATCCATTGAGTGTCCAGGAGACAAGTCACCAGAATAGGACTACCCGCAAGTAACGTTCAACACTCTCCACATCTTGGATTCTATTTTACATATTCTTGAAAAGACTCTGACTTTTTCCACTGAAGCTCTTTTCTTCTACATCTTTCGCATCCGAGGGGGAGGGAAGGCCTTGGAAATCTGGGTTTCTTAGGCATCAACACGTCCGGAAACGCGAACCCAAAATATGGACACTGAAAGAGAACAACACAATCACGAGGCCCTTTGAAGGACCATAACCATAGGATACAAAGCTTTTGATAAGACACGGGGCGCGCCAAGTTTGCCAAGCACAAGCCGCAGAGCCGTCGTCGTCGTGGTCGTCGCTCAACCAGATCCGAACGCCCGTTCATCCCATCATCGGTCACCGATGGGAAAAACAGGAGCGGGAGGGGCGGGTTCGTTACATGTACCTCGTCACTACAACATCGAACCCAAACATCAGCCCCCGTCGAAACGTGGGCGCGACCCTTTTCTCGCTTTGCTCCATCACGCCCCTGAGCTTCAGTGTCCGGAGGGGACCCGGAGGAAGCTCGTGGATCTCTGCGGCACCTGGCTCGCTGCCCTACCGCTACCGCCCCTCCCCACCCATGGCTTCCGCGCTGCCTATGCTCATGGCCGATTTCGTGCGTAATCAGCCCGCCACCCATGGCTTGGTGGTGATGGCTGGCTGAAGACCTGACAGCGGAGCCGCTGCGAGGTTTCGTGTTAAGGCGCCTCATCATGGAGCTTAAGGCATTTTGCGCCGTCCATGTGATGATTGGGCAGCGGAGAGTGAGCATCGATAATGGGGTAAGGGACGGGTGAATTGGGACCTGAGAATTGCGGCTCCTCGGGTGAGAGATGCACCGCGAGGCTGATTGAGCTTGGACAGCACCATCTCTGCCGTCGGTCTACCATTTGATTGTTGACTAATACCGTAGAGGTGATTGAATCACGTTGGCGAGCGACTCGAGCCGCTGCCTCGACGGGGGCGTCGGAAGCACCCTGGTCCCGTTGCCGTTATCGCCATGCGTCCCAGCGAGGCCTCATAGCGTGTTCCGGGCCCAGACCCAGGCTCAACGTGGTGTCAACCCGCCATCTCTGGCGGCGAAAGCGGGTCGCTGTTCTGAGACATTTCGAGTAGCGCGGGCCTCTGAATGGCTTCAAAGTTCATGGCGGCAGCTGGCATCTTGCTCAACCTGCAGATCGCACGGCTGTTCTTCTTGATGAAGCAAACTATTCATAGCCCGCAGCGCGCCCGCGTTCTCGCAACCGCGATGATGTTGCCTGTGCTGCGACCCCGGGCCTGTTGCACGGCATTGAGGGTCAGAGGCTGCAGCTGCGGGTGCTGTCCATGGTAAGAAGAGGGGGGGACGAGGCATCGTGAGCGGCCCCCGGCATGTAAGCTGGCCTGCACCTGCGCCATGACGCGGTCAAAGTCAATGTTCTTGGTTCGGGTTTCGTTCTTGACATGTGGTTAGGCGCCGAGGTCGGCTGCTCCAGCATGCTCGGGTTGAGCCTCCGCTTTTGGTGGCGAGCACAAAAGAGGCTCCCGTTGCGGATGCGGCGGCGGACGAGGCGCCCGGCGGGTTCGGGCCGGGCTTCTGGTTGAGCCTGGGTTGGTAGACGGAGCAGTGGGCGAGCTGGGCGTAGAATAACTTGAGGTGGCGGGCCGTGCTCTCGAAGACCTGGAGGAGGGACGTGAAGAGGGCGGTGAGGCGGTTGTTTTGGACATTCGGGTCGGACGAGTCTTTGATGAAGGTAACGATGCTGTCGAAGGCGTCCATGCTGGTGCAGGCTTGCTGGTGGAGACCTTTCAGAAGGGCAATTTCGAGCTCGACGCTGCGGGCGGCGTAGTCGAAGACGCCGCGTTCCTGAATACGAAGCGATGCGTCGGCTTCTCAAACGAATTGATGGGCCACGAGGGTGTCGACGGTGGATCGGAGGTAAGCCGACCAGAGATCGTGTAGAGCAGAGATCTCGTCACTGCCGTGATCCCGGCTTAGTGGTCAAGTATCCGACAAAATATTTTGTCAAGAGATTAGAGACCTCGGGGTTGTTGGTGTGAGCGTGGTCGTCGAATGACTTGGAGCAGTCAACACTTGCGTTGGACTTGATGATGAGCGTTCCGCCGGGGTGCATGAGGCAGGAGTCAGTGATATTGTAGACACTGTCGTGAACCCCGATCCACACGCGAGAACCAATGCGAGAACCCATGTACTTACTTTGTCAATTATGACAAGAGAATCTTTGGCAGATTGCACGGCAGGGGCTTGGGTGCCATGAACCTATCGAGCATGAAGCGTCTCTCTGCAAAGACCTTTTCGATAATCAGATCGGCCTCTTTTTCTATGGTTATTCTGTAAGTTACCTTTCTGATTCTTTTGATAACATAATCGAAGACAGAGATGGAACTAGAGGCGTAGAGGTAGCCATCGGGACCTCCCTACTTCTTAGACATGACTAGATCTCAGACCTGGACACTCTGCTCGACAATCAGTATATCAATGTAGCGAGGGGGATGTGCTTCTCGCATAGATCTTGACCGTTGTAAACGAGGTTTCTAGAGCCCCTGAAGACTGCGACGCGGACTTCCATAAAGTCCGCGTTGACATATTCTCGCAGCTCCTCCTCGAAGCAGAATTTCTCACGGTTCCAGACTCCAAGATACAGCAAGTCTTTGCCACCAGATAGACCGCTTTGTATGAGACGAGCTTGCCAGAAGCTGTGGAAGAGTTCCATACCGCTCCCGCCGGTGAAGAAGGCGCGGGGTGCCACGCGGTCAAGGAGTCGGTGGAAAGCTTCTGGACGGGAGACGCCGATGAGGATCTTATCGTCTGAGTCGATCTCGCCCATCTCTACGAGCGAGTTCAGGAATTCACTGGAGACACCGGTGCGGGCAATTTCTTTGCCTCTGGAAAAGGTAGAGCTTAGCTTGTATTCCGAGCGGGGCACAGCAAGGTCATCGGTCTCGAGGAGCAGTTGTTCTGTGTAGCTTGCGATAGAGTAGGTTCGTAGGATCTCGAGGGAAACAGATCCTCAAATCATTGGTGATGGGTTCAAGGTGGCCCCGCCGAAGGATGTCACCTACTGTCCACTTGGGCCTTGTCGTTCTCCTCACAGACATGAGATGCGTCTTGAAGCGAGCCCAGATGCCGCTGACTTCCACCGGGGGCATCGATGTGCTCTTCCAGGCCTAGGGCGGCGATAACTTTGGCATTCTTCTTCCAAGAATTCAGGGCCATCAATGTCAGGCGATTAAATGCCCGTTTTCCGGGTATCGAGCGTGAAATGGCAATTCAGCGTGATAGATCAAAATCCATAAACAACCTAGTTAATACGCGGGTGACGCAGCGGCATTCTTCGAATGTGTCGCGTATTTGTTGCCGATCAATCGACAAGGTGCCTCGATAGGGCTCGAGGCGCTCCTTCATCGCCTCAGAGAACTGGCGATGGGTTTCCTCCCAAGGGAGTTCGCCGTCTGCCGCATCCGATGCTCCATTGGTTTCCACCCGGCCAATCTCGGCTGCGACTTTGAGGGGGAACAAGACCTTGTAGCGGCGCACTCCCAAAAAGCCACGTTCGCCGGTGTAGGCTTCGACAATGCCATCGAGAGCGCCTGTGAGACGTGGGTCTCCAAACTTTTGGATGTGGTATTGTTACTCGATGGCTGTAATAACAGCGCGCCGGTTGGCAGGTAATCAAGCACGCAGATGAACACCCTCGGCTCCAAGGAAAGAGTTATGACTGAGAGCAGTGTCAACTAGTGATTCTCAAATTCGCAACAACAACTCTCGGTTTACTTTTTTATGCCTAAGAAAGCATGCAATCCACTGTAGGGTGGAAACTGCAGGCCTAGGGAAGCAGGGCACCGCTTTGGGAGAGGGGCGGAGAACTTGGCCCAGCAGACCCATCACGTAGTTTTCGCCAGCGTTGGGCGCTGTTGAAATAGTATGGAAGGCGTTGGGCATGCGCTTGAGGATTTCCTAGAGGCGAGTCATCTCGTGAAGGAGACCTTTATTGTTGCGGTACATGGCATGTTTTTTGGCAAACCCCGATAGCGTCGTGCCCTTATTGGAAGGAGGCTTTTCCAACAAGTCAGCAACAGCCAGCAGGTCCGCCTCATTAAAGTTGAATGCATCCAACTCTGCTTGTGATTTGACCGACTTGATCTCTTGTTTTGATGGGTATTGGGAATAGAGAATACGATTGACGGATTTCCGCTCTCTGCAAAAGTCAAGTCAGTTGGCTGTGGGATGCAAGTCCCAGTACCTAAGCGTACCTCATTCGGAGCCACTCCGTTACAGTAAGTCCTCGATGGATCTGAAATGTTGTCAGAATGTGTGAGCTTATGAGAAAGGTTGATTAAGGCTTACGTCGAATGCTGCGTGAATATCGCCAGGTTAGAAGAACCCCGAGAACGGACATCCTCGAGGGCCAACAAGACTGCTTGACCTGCTCTGCCACCCCGACTTGTTGGCTGTCAGGTGCACAGCCACTGGTGAGGAACTGGGGCGGGGGATGGGGGGGACGGGGGGGACCTGGGGTAGATTAACGTTATCCCCGTATTGAGGGAATTAAAAGGGGACTCTAGGCGCCGTAAATTGAGAAAGGTTAGATTCGAGTGACAGTCACCAACACACCCCCTCGTGCATGGCTGACCCCTTCACTTCATACGACGCAGCCTGACATTGGCGCCGACTGGGCAAACACCTGTATTAACGAGTATTTCCAACGGACGGGTGTAGGAAGAGACCCCATATCTTGTAACGAGTGTGTGATCCCCTTATACAAGGATTATTCTGCTAGCCTTACTCTTATCTGTGCTTGACATGGGTCAGGTTGCTTAAGATGAGACAACCAACCAGCGTAATGAAAGTGCTAGGGTAGCCCGACATACCCAAGCTATCTTGACTTTTTTTTGTACAGGATTTTCAATGGACTCTACTACAGTCCGTCATATTCATTATGTTTTGTAGCGAGATATCTTCCTATCACTGAATAGCGGGACGATATGTTGAGTTCTGTCCAGAGGCCTGTGGACAGGCTGTAACATTCGTTAATCATTTGTCAGAATCTGGTCGCAGCTGAACCAAATATTCTTATACTGTTGGCATCCATTTCCAGTCGGGCCCGACGTTTGATTCCAGTATCCACATACGTCGTCGCTTCGGTCCCAGCCTACATTGCAGATGCTGCCCTGTCCTGCTCCTCCCTTTACCGTCATCTCTCCTACAATTGGTCCCGGACCGACCGGGAAGTCGCCTTCAAGGTACTGATGTTTTGAGTTTTGATCCTTCCCAGGGACCCACCTAAGAAGGCTTGTTAGCAAAGTGAAGAAATTGGGTCGCTTGAAAAGCTGGCGAGAACCGGCCGTAGCGAGGACGTACATTTTGCAATTACAGTGGTCGTAGCGAGGACATCTTTTATCGATAGTGCCGTCCTCGTTACGTTTGCAACGGTACAATGGATTAGCCAGTGCCGACAGTGTCGCTGAAAGAAGAAGCGTTATAGTGAGGTTGAGCTTCATGGTGAGGGTGGGTTTTGGAGTAGCGTTCTGGTAAAGTGATACGGAAGATGGTCCGGTTCAAGTGCGCTGATCCGGCGATGATACATGCCTTTTTATCTTGGCTGTATTCAACAGTGACTGAGCACGGAAATAGCCGATGTCTAGTTTTTCAACGGCTTATGGGATATTGTTGGCTTACATATCACAGGGGTGATTGTTCGAGTCGAACCGTGGTGACGAAGGGTAAATTAACTGTATATTCATCTCTGCGTAAGGTGGAAAAGAGAGGTTCCAAACGTAGATTAGAACGTTAGTTGAAAGCTGATATAGAGGCCCTCATATGGCCCCTGTGCTTGCGCTGACTCGAGGTCGAATTGGGCTTCCAATCCGACAGATATATTGCAGCAGGGATCCTAACAGGTTTAACAAATCAATGAGTAGTACAACTCAACGCTATTGACTACCTGGTTAAGATATCTGCATTATCCGGTTAATATCTCTCGGCAGAAAGGTGCTATACATATTACTTTCACTGAGACCCCTCTTGACAAGACTACGTACGGTTGATCACCGAAGCCTTAACAACCTCAGAACTCATAGACATAGCTTCCCCGGGTTAAAGGGAAGATGGGCAAAATACTTTTATCTGCTCCTTCACCCTAAATTATTCACGCAACTGATCAACACCATCAAAAATTGCCCCGCAATCTTTTGATTTATCAAGAAGATCAATTAAGAGTTTGCCAAAACTGACCCTACATGATGAAATCTCCCCTGTCAGGTGCCCAGCCTGACTCAGGGGGCCCACCAGAACCCCTGCTGGGTATGTAAGGAATAAGGGCACAGACTAACCGTACAGACTATCCGTAGAGAAGGGCAGATTTGATCGTTCGTCACACTACACACCTACGTGGGGCTGGCCTTCCACACGTCTCTCACTTCACGCCATGCCCCTGACATCCCCCATGGTTAGCTCTGCTTCGGCTTGTGGTATGGAACCATCGCCCTAGTCGCGAAGTAAAAGTTGAAGCTAACAAGTATGCCCTGAACTCTCACAACGCAGAACTCGGGATAGATCTGCATGCGCGCCCAAGCTGCGGAAGTTCGTATTATCAGAAAGGTAATGAAGCACGCAAGATCAATTCCAGTCCGGATATGGAGGTGCCGTTCAAAAGCTTAGCTGAGGCTGCTTAAATAATCCCAACACAGACAAGAATTCACACTTGTAACAATATTTTGTTATTTGTAATAAGAAATTATAAAAGTGTGGACGTTCTTAAAAGAATACCCTCAGGGATGTAGTAAGGTTATTTTAATCTATAAAATAAACCCTCTATATTAATATTGTTAACCACGTGATATCCCTCTCTTTTCTTGGTACGCTAGTCAAACCTTTTGAACGGCACCTCCGTAGATTACACCCTCAACTCCTCAGGCTCATTGCCTGATCCGAGCGCCAGGCGTATGTTACCGTCTGACAAGGGAGTAAAAATGCTTGTTCACTCTCCTGCGGGGAAAGCATCTTAAAAATTGCTTCACTGGCGATGAGTAAGCGGTCCTTAATTGCATTCCGAAACCATGACGAAGAAGATTCGGTAATTTGCACCCCAATCGTTAACGGGATCTCCACTCCACATCCCTCACTGCTCAGCCCGAGTCGCCACTTCCAACACTGTCATAATGGGATTAATAAAAGGTAAATTTGTAGTCCTGATTTGGGCCTTCGCATCACTGATATCTTGCTACCCTGGAGTGGATGCAGATAAGCAGCTATCGTCACCGGGCACTCATATCTCCCACCCCTGAGCCACGACATCCAAACTCAGACTCGCAATCTAGTCCTTCATCTATGGTGAACCGCCCCAGGCTTCGTCTCGGGGGGCTTGAACAGTTATACTGCTCTACGCGCTGTACAAACGCACGTTAATGAATCAGCTGCTGACTCACACAACTCCTAGGTTCCATTACTTCATCTTCGCAGCAGAGAGCCACATCGCTTTTTGTATTCTCGCCCATCGCATTTCGATCCATCAAATGCTACTCGCCGGAAGTCGTCTCTTCTACCATTCATCTCTTCCAGCCGCCGGAATACTACACCGTTCTTGCTCGTCCTGGCAGGCCTGATATGTAGGATCATGACTTCATTCCCCGCCAATTCGAGTCAAGACCTCAAGATAAATACGAACGTTCTTTTTGGTTGCAAGAGACAAGGCATGCGTCATTGTAGAACAACTTCCTATCACATCATCAAGGCTCTACATGGAAGAGTCACCTCTACAGCGGTTCCTTACAGATGATTGACCCGGATCAAATTGACGATATGGATTTTGACCAGCATAAAGATGCGATGGATACGTGGTATATCCACGCAGTATTTGACTTACCTCTCTCCGAGCTACCTCTACAGCAAAATCATAAGAATTTAAACAAAATATGGACGAGCTTGGCCGTAACTCACCAGTACTCCTGCGTCCACAATTGTATATGTCTTCAGACCACGCCTAAACGATTTAGAGTGAGGGGCGTCCCTTGTGTCTCGCCAGTGACTGGCGGAATATTTTCTAGTGGCCAACCTTCTCCTATTGTTGCGCCGAGGCAAAGATTGACTGCTCTGGCTGCTCCGGCATACTTATGATTTCGGGCTCGCGCTGCCGAACTCATAAAAGTGGAACTTTTCTGAGATCTCATCCGGAATCTTGAGAGGCTATACTATCGCGAGACTCTTTCAGGGGTGCATCGATATTGAGCGTCGTCAGGAACAAGATGACCTAGCCTTCAGTTGCCCAATCACTGTTGTTGTAGAATGTAGACGTCATCGTCACATTGTGCAAGCGAAATTTGATAAGCTTGGGCATGCAAGTCAAGATTAGACTGGCATATTCCCTCTCTGGCGTGTAAGGTATTCATCAGTGGAAAACACCCGGCAATGAAAAGCATTGAGGACTTTCGCATTCACTCTGAATCCGGCGGTGGTATACCCTCCAAGCAGCCACCAACCTGGCATTCAACGGTCTTCCCGATCGTCCTCTGATAATGTTCAAATTCCGCGATCTGAACCTGTCTACCGCTTCTTCAGACCAATTTGGGAGACTTTGGCTGATGTGAACTGGGTCGATGGCGCCTAGCGAGCTTGAGGACATCACATTCCTCCTACATTGTCTAACTCCAGTTCTCTTGAGCACAATGTCCTAGTCAACCACTGCAACTATGTTGTATCCGGAAGACTAAGCTTGTAGCACCATCTATAGTATCTCGATACTGCAACGCAAACTAACAACACAAATTATTATTTGTTACGCAGTCCACTCTCTTTTGGACCTACCTCAGGTACACGGTCAATCTCATCACACGAGCGCTTCGCTCCATTCCGAAGATATCCGCGTCACATTCAAATAGGGGTAGCAATGTTGGAGAAACATCATCAAATCCGTGATATCATTCAAACGCTGTCAAATCCACCCAAGTCCCCCTTCAGTCCAAGGACAAGCTTTTTTTTTTTCGAACCCTCGAGTAGAGTACACATCACCCTTTCCCCCATCACCGCGAGCTCCTCTCGGCTACGTTTTGTACAGTCTTGCACCTTACAACTTGGAGAACACAGTCGGCACGCTACCGCCCATCTCGACGAGCGTGCTCTTATTCCGTACCCACGCCTCGAGACCCTTGCGCCCGTTCTCCACGCCCACGCCACTCGACTTCCACCCGCCCACCGCCATCTCCGCAGGCGACTCGCCCCACGTGTTCACCCACGTGATACCAGCCTCGAGTCGCTGAATCACGCTGTGGCACTGGTCAACGTCCCGGCCAAACACACCGGCGGCAAGCCCGACGTCCGTCTTGTTGGCGCGCTCGACGGCCTCGTCGACGGTATCGTAGGTGAGGATGCTCATGACGGGGCCGAAAATCTCCTCCTTGACAATGGTCATGTCGTCGGTGCAGTCCGTAAAGACGGTCGGCTGGATCCAGAAGCCGGCCTGGTAGGCCGCCGGCAGGCCCTTGGGCTGCGTCGCGCCGCCGCACAGCAGCGTGGCTTTGTCCTCCATGACGCCCTTCCGGACGTACGCCTGCACCTTTTCGAGGTGCGTCTTGCTGTTGAGAGGTCCAAAGTTGGTGGCCGGGTCAAACAGGTCGCCGGCGCGGACGTACTGGATCTTCTCCAGCACGAGCTTCTCAAACGCGGCCTTGATGGCCTTGGGGACGAAGACGCGCGTGCCGTTGGTGCAGACCTGGCCAGAGCTGTAAAAGTTGGCGAGCATGGCGCCGTCGACGGCCTGCTCGACGTCGCAGTCGGGCAGGACGATGACGGGGCTCTTGCCGCCGAGCTCCATGGTCACGTACTTCATGCCTCCCGCCGCGGCGCCCGCGACCTTTTTTCCCGTGCTCACCTGGCCCGTGAAGCTGACCTTTGCGATCTCGGGGTGTGCCGTCAGCTGGGCGCCGACGTCGCCGGCGCCGTAGACGACGTTGAAGACACCATCCGGCACGCCGGCATCGCGGTAGACGGAGGCGAGGTACTCTGCGTGCAAGGGCGTGAACTCGCTGGGCTTGTAGACCATGCAGTTACCGGCGGCCAGGCAGGGCGCCGATTTCCACAGGGCGATCTGGATGGGGTAGTTCCATGCGCCGATGCCGGCGCAGACGCCGAGGGGTTCCTTGGTGGTGTAGGCCCAGGCGGAGGGTCTCAGGCGGAAGGACTCGCCGTTGAGGCCGCCCGAGGCGACGAGGTTGGCGTAGTACTCGAGGACGTCGGCGCCGGTGACGACGTCGACGTACTGGGTCTCGGAGAAGGCCTTGCCCGTGTCGAGGGTCTCAATCTTGGCCAGCTCGTCGTTGCGCTCACGCAGGAGGGCGACGGCGCGGAGGAGGATGCGGGCGCGCTCGATGGGCGGCGTGGCGGACCAGGAGGGGAAGGCCGTCTTCGCGGCGTCCACGGCGGCGTTGATGGAGGCGGCGGAGGAGGTGTGGATGGTGCAGACGGGCTTCGCCGTCGCGGGGTCGATGGACTGGAACGTGCCTGGGGA